GCTTTATTGAGATATTCCAGCAATTTAAGATCTCCTCCATGTTTGTTTTTATTTGGGCAGTACTTGCCTTGGCACTTTCCTTCCATCCACAACAAACAAGTTTTTTCATCGTCGCTTTTCTTCTTTTTCACCGGTCTGTCATCCTTGTGAGATGGGGAAGGCTTCCTCGACTTCAAGGATCTGATCTCGGCTTCTAATGCCCTTGTTCGCTGGTTCACCTGTTCACGCACTAGTTTGTCTATTTCAGTTCTCATTTTCTTCAAGGCTTCAGCTTCGACGCTTTCGCGTCGTTTCTCAACTGCAATCTGAGAAACCAGGTCCGGAAAAACGTTTCCTACTAAGGTGGCCTGCAGTTGGCGCTGCTGGAAATTCGGCCCTTCGGCAACAGGTGTGGGATGAGCGAGGTTCACCTTAAGTATCGAGTAAAACAGGTCGTACACCGCTTCCAAAGACAATTTTTGCTCGTCGGATTTTGGGTCGAAAGATCCAGCCACGGCTTTCATCATCGTTTCTTGTAGTGCATTGGCATCAGCGTCGTTGATAATCTGGGTACACCGAAAGGTAGCCAATAGCGCCAGGGGGAAAAGGTTCAGATTTGCGGGGGGCTTAATCAATCGGTCGTAGTTTCGTGCTTGAAGCTGCCTGAGCACGAACAGATACTGTGCCGGTGTGCATTTATGGCGAAGATGGGTACACCGCTCTACGACCAGCATGACTTGTGCGTCAGTCGGGACTCCCAGACCTTCGTTTTCTTGAACGGCCTGCTGTCGTAAAATATTATCATTCATCTGCTGCATTACTACAGCAGGAGCTGCTGGTGGAAATGCCATCGCAGCTATCGGTTGCGGCTGACCTGCATCTTGCGGGAAGGCACCCAAGTCACCTCCCAACGGAGGAACTCCTGGTGCTTCGGCAGCTCCTGGGCCATGCCCCATTACACCTGCAGCCGCTGGAGGTACTAGTGCACCACCTTCCTGGGGCCCGGGTGCCGCCGGGAGTATACCGGCATTAGCCGCTTGTTGTTGGTCCATTTTGTTATTTGAAAGTATATAAACGCAGAAGTGTATAAAGTACGAAACTAGAAACAAGAGAAAAGATGGTATAAAACTAACGTAACGTAAACCATATTAGAGAAACCGCCTGTGTTTATTGATTCGCACCTTTGTGACCAGAATTATTTATTATAAAGGGGGGAGAATTAGTAGGGGGCCACTGAAGGTCGACTACGCCAAGCTTCGCTCGAGGCACCGTATTGGCTACTGGAAGAAGAGAAGGTGCTCGACTCGCCTCTAATCGCTACGGAAGAGCTATGAGGCTTCATTGTCCCAATGGAGTAATCTCTCGGCGCGAATAAAATTGGCTTCTTCAGGGGCCATCGTAGGCCAACATCATCTGGCAGGGCTCTAGCATTTCCCAGGTATCTGTACATGCTATCAATGGACTGCCACCGGCCCACTTGCTGAATCTCAGAATCTGTTAAACCGCCGTCTGCAGCAGAGCGTGCTCCACCTATCCGCAGCGAATGCAACATGATCGATTTCTTATATTCGTCTTCGCCTAACTGCACTACAGGATTAGCAATGTTAGCTAGTTGAAGCAGTCCTTCCATCAGCTTGAGAAGGGTCCTTGGCGGTGTGTTAGCAAAAAAGAGGAAGTCTTTTTCCGGGCAACAGCACTTGGGGCATATCTGGATAAAATCCATCCCCAATGAAGGAGAATGCCCGCATGCACATCCTAATTCGACAACTTGTCTGCTTACGCCGAATTGGTTGTTCTTAGCCGAGACAACAGTCAGAATAATTGAATTGCTGCCTCTTCTCCTCTCGCAAGTCGACGTTTCATCGAGCCTCATCATGAAAAACCAACAGAAGATCGCGAAACGTAGAAAGGGTACTGCTTGAAAACTCTGAGATCCCACCTGAATCGTAGCCAACGGGGCGCTGGTAAAATGAAGGACTAAGGTCATTATGTGCCTAAGTCGAATCCCTTGCTGTTGAAACTGGTTAGGCGCCGAACGCAAAAACATTCTCGCGATCTGCAAAAACGATTTCCGAACTGGACCGTCAACGGTCTTTATCAGATCCGCAAAACACTTGACGTATTCCATGTTCTGGGCTTTGGATCGCTTAAAGTCCTTGCATTTCTGGAAGGCTTGTGCTAAAAGTTGAACTCCTTTGACCTCGATATATCGTGGATGAGGATCTCTGCCTAGCATGAGCATAAGCTCTACATACTTCTTGTACCCCGACTTGTAGGATCTAATTGTTGTTGCCGACAGCCGGGATTGTAAGTCGAACTCCGCGATTTCGTTCGTTAAATCATCAACATATCTTGTTGGTGACTTGATTTGGGTCACAACCAGCGGGATTGTATCGGGAAGCCTATGAGGATGGTTTTCCACGTCCTCTCGGATAGTGTTAAGTGCGCTCTTCCAGTCAACCAGCTCTCCCGGACCAATGCGTCTAGCGGTTGGAGCAAAAGCGTCACCTGGCTTATGCACAATCCCGCGTGAGAAGTGGCGTCCATGGCCTTTTGGGCTAGTCTGCTTTAGAATACTACTAGAACTACTCGCTCCAGCGTCACTCTGTTCCGGTGCGATGCTCTCAACTCCTTCCTTGTTCAGAATAGCAGCCATTGCTTCCATGGATCTATTATGCAAATCTTGGTCCATAATCTCTGGCGGAGGTGCTAGAACTGCTAATTCTTCTTCTTCCGTAGCAAGGGGGGGTGGGACTTCTGTAGGCGGGGGTTGTGCTACGCTCGCATCGGTATCTTTTCCGCAAGAGAATTTTTGTAGTACTTGATCGCGCAGTGTAAAGTCGGCACCGAGGCCAAGACTATCTGCAACAGCTCTTTTTTGGTCTGAGTCTAACCCTCCAAGTGTTGACACACGGACGGAATTGTCGCTAAGCAAGGGGCTAGAACGAGTCGGTCTTTTGACTGTACTCGAAGCCTCGCGCAACTGTTCTGAAAAAGGTGTAAAAGCAAGCGTTGTCGTTTGCCGGTCAGCGACCAAGGCTTGGACGCGCGCCGACCTTCCAGGCATTATGGGTGGGTTAGTGGGGAATTAAAACGTAAGTCGCTTTAGCAACACGTAATTGACTAAGTACTCCTTGCCCTATTGTTTAGATCTACATTTTTATTTGATTCAAACTCTAGAACGCGAATAGATCAATCCATAATAAATGTACTATCCCCCTTGATACATAAACGTAAGCAGGACTATAAAATGAGTAACAAGCTATCAGATGCGTAACGATCGGTGACTTCCGAGTATAAGCAAGTGATTCTTTTTTAACATGCTCCAACAGAAAAGAGAACCATAGCACTAGAAAGTCCACTGCTGCGCATTCATATGGAGGCATATGACGAGCTCCAGTCTTATTGAGTAAGATAGCAAGATCACCTCAGCGGAAAAGATTACTAGTGATGAAAGTATTAACTCTACTAGATCTAGACTAGTGAAGATTTCGCGGCGCGTCTGGAGGTTTCATGCGTTTCGGATTTCACATTTTCGGGGGTCTCACATCAGCCAAGACTTTTTTTTTTGTATGCCAGGACGCTTCTCGTCATATTATATTTATATCGCTCAATCACCTATGGATGAGCCTCTGCTTTGATCAACATGCACAAGAGATTTACAAGCTCAAACAGAATACAGTAAATATTTTCACTCCACGACGACATCGTGGAAGAGATGCTTCCTGGAAGAGATGATCTATGACCCCTCCTATCATCATATCCCTACGAGAATACGAATCCACTCCTCATCTTATTGCCCCATCCGACGCCGGTTTTTCCAAAGATGCGGTAGTGCCATTGTTCTGCTTAACGCCGCTCTCCGAAGATGCGCAGCAAAGGTATGAACGTGTCCTTTGGAATATCTACTTGAACAAAACTTATCTCAACAGTTGCGAAGCTCCTCAAAACTGTGTTTCTCAACTGTCAGCTTGGACCATCTCTTGATAAAAGTACTCACACCTCTGGTAGTTGTGCGTATCTTTTCTAGCTCCATTGATTCAGTCAATTTATCAGCCCTCCTTCCTATCTCAGTAATAAAGTGAAAAACGAAACCCAGCTTCTCAGTACTACATTCAAATAAACTCTCATCCTCTTCATAAAGTGCAGAAACAGGTTGATGATGTCCATGTAGAGGTTGAGAGCAGCGAAACAATATTCGTCCAAAGCGAAACGGTGTCGGTGATGCTTCCCTCCTACGATCAGCTGGACATCGAAAACGATGTAGAAGGAAAAAGTTAGAACATTCTGTGGTCTCTGAGAGGGGCACCGAGAGCATAGATAGGTAGATAGGTAGGAGCGTAGGTGGGTAGGTAGAAGGAGAGATAGATGGAAAGAAAGAGAGAGAAAGAGATGCCTGGATAGCAAGAGGCATAGGCGGATAGATAGATGGATACACATGTGAATAGATAGAAAGGCACTAGAGAGGAAATTCTTACGACAGACAAGAAAAGTGTTACTAGCCAAACTAGCTACAGGAAAAAAGAGACGCTCGTATGTTGCAGTTGAGTGGCAACTTGCAGAGCCGATTCACAGCGTCATCTTCGTTCTCAAGTACGCTGCATCCCCCATATCCCGCTTACTAAGATAAAGCGTCGTTTACTAAGGCAAAGCGTCGTTTACTAAGATTAAGCGTCGTTTTTTAACGAACATCGTTCGTTACGCTTACGATCATTGTTTCTTATGTACTTACACGTTGTATACTAACTTTAGCACCGTCTATGAGAGACTGACTTTACACGACGCGATGAAAAGTGTGCACTTGCTTGTGAACGAAGATAACGTCCGCGATTGGCAACTTTTCAAGCTAAAGGACAGTCTAAAAACCCAAGCCATAAGAACAGCAGCGCCGAAAGTCCACTGTATACCACCTCCATCGGTCGTGAATGGGACCCAGGCAGAAACATCATGATCAAACTTGTAAACATCAAACAGCAGAGCATCGCAAACTGGTTGTGAAGGAAGGGGTGTTGGGAGGAGGTTTTTTGAGGTTTGTTCGGAAGGGGTGTTGGGAGGACGAGGTTTTTTGAAAGGGGAGGAGGTTTTTTGAAAGGGGAGGAGGTTTTTTGAAAGGGGAGGAGGTTTTTTGAAAGGGGAGGAGGTTTTTTGAAAGGGGAGGGGTTTGAAATGTCAGAATAGGGAACAATAGTCTATCCCTGATGTGATCAATATAGTTCTACATTAACTTGGAAGGTTTGGAAGTGGAGAATTTTTCTTGAAAATGATATATGGACATCATGCTGAGAAAGAGGTCTCCAGAAAAAGATACTCCTGAGGAGAATGAAACCAAATGAAGACTACCGAAACCGAAAAAAAAACTGCTTACCAAGTATGGCCCAAATCCAGTGAAGTCATAGCTCGTCTGGCAGGCGAAAGCCACAAGACTTATCGTAATTCCTCCTGTCAATCCTGCGGCGATGATTAGAGCGACTTGGGCATGGGTGGACGTGGAGGGAGGTTAAGAAAGAGGCTGAGGTGGTGGGAAGAAAGCTGGCTTCTAGAGTAGGGCTCTTCGAGAGTGAAAAGAATTACAGAATAAACGAACTCCGAGCATCTCCAGAAGTACATGAGCACAGCACATGACCACAGCGCTGACGTTATTCATTCTATCGCTTTTCCCCTACAGAAATAGACGGGCGCATTAGCATCCCCAAATAGATCTCGAGTGAGTCAGTGAATGCGCCCACTCTGGGGGTATGTCAGTTGCGCCTCTATCTGCGACTTCTTGAAAGTCTTAGTTTAGTACTAGCCAACGTCTAATGAGTTATTGAGTCCACCTCTATTACAAATACCATCCATAACATGAGTACTGATGACGTCGTGTACATTGAACACGTGACCCCAACAATCAGTCCGAAAGCCAATGTGATAGCAGCGAGAAAACAGTAGTTCTTCGGATATTCACGGGTGATTGAAGGGTCGCACATGCTGATTTCAGGTAAGAACGGAGCAAAATAGTGGATATCGGTAAGGTTGTAAGCATGAAGATGCTGCAGCTGCGTTGAGAAAATGCGCGAGGTCTAAGGGTGGACTATCTATATTTCTGAAGGACACTGCGGCGGCTGTATGGATGAACAGGCTGTGAGCGCTGTAAGGGAGGATAGACCTCTTTTGGAGTGTTAAGATGCAGATGGGACTTAATTCTAGTACTAGTACCTGTAGCAGATGATACCGCGACGATTCTGAGGAAGTCTAAAGGATTTTCCTCGACTCTAAGGATTGTTAGGATGCCGCTTGTTAGGATAGTGCAGACAAGATTTGGTACCTGTAGCAGATGAGTGCGATCGGAATCAGCATGGCGATAGTGATAAGGACTTGGTTGTTCTGGATGAACCCGGAAGCGTTGGAATTAGACAAGTATGAGAAATGTCGCCCTTAAATTAAATCCAGACGCTTCCACCGTTGTAGATGTAGTCAGAGTCATCCTGCTATTAAATTGCGTTTCAAGCAAATTCGTCTGAAGACAATGATGAGAACTTTCCTCAATATTCCACTCCGGTGCTTTCTCAAATATTCGAAGGCGCTGAATCAACCAGCAAGCATTTGTCTACTTAATCAAACCGCTACGATCACATCTTCAATATTTCCACAAACTAATCAAGTCTCGTTGTCATCACTCATTAAACGACTAAAGTCACCCAGTAAATCTGTTGGATGCAGCGCCCTCTCATCAATCATTCAGCATTATTATCTCAACCATTCTTAATATATATAAGCGACAAAGGGAAACTCTCACCATTCAAAAATATATCATATTAATCCACCATTCTAAATATATTGTGGCGGAGTTATGTTAACTGGGAAAGAGGGGACTTTATCAACCATTCTTAACATACACCACGAAGGGAAAAGCGATCGCAGCTGTGACCAGTAACTGGACCCCCACCAGGGACATGACCTTCCGGACGAAACCATGGCGGACAGACGTCTCCAACTTGTCCGTCAAAATATCCGCATCCGAATACTCTGAAAGTCAAATTTTTTTCAGCGATTGTTTTTGAAGTGAGAGAGAGAGAGAAAAAGACTGTGGTGCGTATGTAAGTGAGTTGGTGGCTGTTCAGGAAGGTGGATATCTGTCAATTCTGAAGGAACAAGGATTCGACGAAACGGAAGAAGGGTAGCTACTAGGGTCAGAGAGCGAGAAAAATTAAAGTGGAGAATCAAATACGGAGCGGCATGTCGTCGCTTTCGTTCGCAGCAGACATCATCTTGCTTCTTCTGTTCTGTTCCAACTTAGTCTACTCTCAAACACTTGCGCTCCACCTAGAAGAGCATGGAAAAAAAAATCTAAATTTCCGATCGTTATAGTGTTGCTTGATGAGAGGAATACATGTGCGCATAGACTTGATGCGGAGGAAACAATGGTCGACCCTTATCTGTCATTCCATCTTGTTCAAAAGCAAGACGAGTTTTGACTTCGCGCGCGGCCACTCATGTATCAAATATCCTTACGCAGCTTTTGAGTTTCGCTATGGCTATCTCGCTCGAAGCTGCCTGACGCAAGTAGTCGCGTTTCTAGTCGTGCGCGACGCTGTTCCTGCGAACAAAATCAAAGATCTTTTTCTCTCTGTTAACACTCTAGAGCTTTTTGGCGTTCACTTTTTGCAGTTCGCTCTCATCTCTACGGTGTCTGTAGTCCTGCGTGCCGCAACGAAGTCAAGCACTGCAGGCAACAATACGACTTGTGTCAAAACGACTTCGCGACAACACGAGCGACGCATCGACACGCCAACTGTTTCAAGAGCACGAAGTAGTCGCATCCTACGAGAAGGAGCAATGCTTTGCATTCCATGTTTTCTTACGCCAGGACTGTGTCTCGACATCCGCAAGCAGATCAAAACCGTCATCAAAGTGCCTCCAAATGCGCCAAAAAGAACACAATCCAGGAGAGGGTCATCACAAGCATAGGGAGGACGCGAAGTGGTTTCCACATATCTTAGGTGCTAGAAAAGAAGAAATCACTTGCGTAGTTATCTAAACAGCGCAAGAGCAGCTGTCTAACAGACCAAACTTGTAGGCGATAGCTCTACAGTATCAGTAGTGGATTCGTGCCATACTTTCCCAACACAAGGCAGGCTGACTCTGACTGTGTCCGAAAATAGGCATTAGTGCGTGGTCTCCTTGTGCCACTTACTCTTTTGTCCAATGACATCGCCTGCAGCAAAATCATCAAGCTCTGCGAAAAAAAGAAGCCGAAAAAAACAAGAGCTTCTTCTTTATGTGTAAGGATTTGCATTCTTCAAAGTGAGCTCGCAAAGGTGATCTATCAGCGTTTAAGTAAGTACTCAAAAAGAAGTTAATAACTCATAATGTGCGCATTCTATCCTCATCTTGTTGATTCAAACTACTCCATTACACTTGCATGTGCGCTGGTGGCATCCCTAGTGGCGGTGGCGGTATAAAATTCAGACTTCCAGGATTCCTACTAAAGCTAGCTCCCAAGCGAGGAGCAGACGGTTGCGGCGGAGAAGCGGCTGCGGTAGTGAAGAGGATAGAAGCAAGGTCGTTAGACATTATTTCGATTTCGAAGAGGGTGTGGTAGGGACGTATCTCCATGTATCCAGATGCAGCCAAACTCGAAGAAATAAATGGAGAGCAACAAATAATCGTCAATGTTTACAACGAGACTCGCCCAAGTCTGTGCGTGTGCTTGCTTCTGAGCTAGCGCGACTGCTTCCCCTACTGTTTCGTCTTCCCCAGTTGTATCCACCGTAGGCGTCTGGATCCAGATTTGGTGTCGTTCTTAGAAACACCCTGCCACATTCTATCGGATAGGATACGGTAGCACGCGATGGCACGACGTGTATGGTTCTCTAATAACTTGTATGGTTCTCTAATGACTTGCGCGACCCTTAGTTAGCTTCCACTTCCAATGACTCAAAACATCAAACACCCAGCCGCAAGTTATCTTTATCTAACGACCACACTAAGCATCAACCTAACGCCCTGCCTTAAGTTATCCAATGACTTTCGACCCGATTTGTGCTTTCCCTTTGCCGGAGATGAGGAACTTGCCCGAAGAGAGCCGAATATACTCCCTAGGAAGTTCTTCGATTCCGGTGGTGAGGATTCCTGGATGTTAGAGAAAGACTACTTGTTTCAGATATACTTTCCTTTACTTGATGCAGGAAATATCTGCCAAAAGTAGAGACGAAGAAGAAGCTTATGACGATGCGAATCTACTCGGCAATCTGCATAAGATTTCCCTGACGACTTCTGGCCGCTAGTTTTATATTTGAAGTTCTTGCTTTATCTACTAGAATAGACCTCTACTAGATGGAGACAATCAAGCCCCAATCAAGGACGCAGTTATCTCCCCTTAACCTTTTTGCGACCGTCAGCTGACGCGCTCCGATTGTAAGGGCCGCTTTCCCCGTCACCGTTTGATTTGAGGCTTCTACTTCTCGCATCAGCAGCTATGACTCATGCGCATGTGTCTTCTATTTCGTCAGATCTTCTACTTTGCTCTATCTTCCTGCTCGATTCGGAGGATGTGTCTCATGTCTGAAGCCCTGCTATACTAGAAGGCGCGCCGGATGGAACTAAAAGTTTTCACATTTTCTGAATAGCCTTAAGATGATCCTCCCCCAGCGGGAAAATTTTTGATGTAGTAAGGCGTCTGACTCGTCTGCACAGGACCATACGGCGAAGACGGTGGAGCATTTACTGGGTAGCGCTAGCGCAGTGATTAGGTGAGCCCATAATGAAAGTGCCTACCTTGTTCTGGAATAAACTTGCACATTGATACAGCAGCTGCAAGGTCTGAGGAGGAAGAAAATAAGAGCAAGCACTTTTACATTTACAAAAAAATACAGTCAAAATTGAGGCTAGTCGTAATGTCTATCACGTCACGATGATTCACAACTACTATGATCCACCGCCACGCCTCCTGTTCCCGCGACGACCCCCAACCCACGATCCGCTATCGCATTGTCTGGCAGATTCAGTATTCTACGGTCTCTACTCCTGCTAAGCATGGATCCAACAAGAGTCCGACCGCTTTCACCTCTTCGACAGCATACGAAGTGGAAACAACTTCGGATGTTAGAGATGATCACGTCGATTCAAAATGCAAATCTATTGCTTATTTCTACTACTTTTGCATGAATACTATCGGGGTTCATTTCGGATGGCGCTACCACAGTCAAACTTTCTGTCACTTCTCTACCGCAATGCGCAGCCCTTGTCCTTTCCTCGTTTTCGCCTTCTTCTAAGTCTGAAAATGATGAGTCTCTGCTTCGGCGTCTTCATGAATATTATGTCAAAGTAAGTTAAAGCTCATTCCACTTCCTTGCCATAACAACCGCGGCGAACGCACAGACCCCACTCAGCGATAAGATCAAAATGCCCAGTGTCGATGTCAGCAATTGCTTCTCTAGGCCTCCCTCTTCAGCGCGCTCCCCTACAGTATAGCTTTCCCCGTCGATGCACCTCAGTCGTGCTGCACTACAGCTCGAACATGAGGAGACGAAAGTACGGACTTCGTTTTCCGCAGTTCGGTAATGAGGAGCATGAGCAATGGCGCATTGCATTTCTGCGGTGGGGTTGGGGAGATTTTTTGGCGCCAGTTGATGCTACGAAATTGTTACTACAATACATAGCAAGTAACAGACTGCCTGCACTTTCACACATGACGATGAGATACCCAGTCGTTTGACGGGTATGCATCTCAGCAGCCAGATAGTACAGGTAAAAGCATCGTGCCTACCAGGCCTGTATCTTCTGAAACCACCTCAAACAAAGAAACTACTAATACCATTTTTCCCTCCCGCAGCTTCAGTGCACGCGCACCCGTTTGGCATGGCTAGGTCGCGACGGAAGAGCTCCACTCCTGTGCACAGACAACTTGAGGGGTACACTCCATTCTCCTCACTCGTACACCTCTCAAAAGCGAGTACCACTGTAGTGCTGCTCGCCAAAATGATCGACAAGAGAGATACGTAGTCGCGATCTTCGGGATGAGAGAAGCTTCATTTTGTGGGTATTGACTGAGTGAGTGAGTTTAAGTTTGTTTTGGGAAAAAGTAGCGCCATGATCTCGAAGCAAGACCGCGCAGGCGCAATGTCTTTGCGCAAGATAGTTAGCAATATGGAAAAGAAAAGTATGCTACTGGCAGGCCCAATCGCTATGCAGAACGGGACAACTAGCACAGTCATGCCATCTGTGCTGCTCTTAGTCGCATTTTGTGAATGTACAACAAGCCTAACGAACACAGCACCAGTTGACTTCTTAATACTCTTTCGGCCGATTTTGTTCGACACGTTTCGCAGCCGATATAATCATACGACTTTTTTCGCGATTTGGAAGCTCTCGACCTTGTCTTCGCTCAGCTCGCTCCCTCAGCCTGACGCCCTCTCCATTCCTTCCTCCATGTTCGAGATGAAGGCAGCTTTGTGTACTAGATGGCGACAAGTTATAGCGTTAGACAGTTGGTGCAGAACAAGCGCTGCAATGAAGTGTGGAAATATTCTTGGAAGTTGCAGTGGTATTGTAGAATAACAATTTTGAGAGAGAGAAATGATTCATCACCCAAAGCTCACGTCAGATCCGCAACACGTCTCGTGCGCGTGCCCACTCTTCCTTAGAGTCGAAGAATACCTGCACCATAGCATCAGGAACATGCTCACAGCGGTTCATGCTGTGGGAATGAACGCTATGGAGTCGTGCAGGGGATGGGAGGAGTAATGAAACTGAGGCGGGTACTAGTGAAAGCATGAGTGAGGTGGAAGATGAGGCTGATGAGGAAGTTGAAGCCGGTATCGTCGAGTTTAGTATTACGCTCCTTCCTCTCGCTGAAAAGCGTACCTGCACAACGTCGCGTGAAAAGGGGCTTTCTCCTGTGAAAAGGGGCCAAAAGTCCAACCCATAGTCACATCCACAATACCGCCATACTCTTCTTGGTCCAAGTTGTACAGGCCCAGACCGTAGAAGAAGATGAAAAACAGCGCAGCAATGCGTCGACCTACGAAGTGACAGCATACACCGTTCCATTACAATGTCTGCTTCAGGGATGTGAAGACGGCAGCAGATTTCATCCAACAAATCGACTTCGACTGGGTGCTGTACTTCTTGTGCGGACTGGTCGACGATGCCAATGCTCGAAGCTTGTTGCCCTTGGAGTCCTTCTTGTGCGGACTGGTCGACGATGCCAATGCTCGAAGCTTGTTTCCCTCTTTCTATCAACACACTATGATTGAAGTCGAGCAACGCTGCTAAATGAACTTCGAGTTTCGCTAGTCGTGCATCAGCAATCCCGGAAAGCTGACTGGTACCCAACCGACGGACGGAAAACGCAGTAGGTAAAGCTAGACAGCCGAAAAGTAGAGCGTGGAGGAGTGAAACCGTCGAGGAAGACGAAATGGGTTGGACTAGCAGCGCTATGGCGACTAAGAGCGAAATACACGCCAAAACCAGTGGTACTACGAAGCTACTAGGTAGTTTTACTGCTCCACCACCAGGTCTACCATCTCTACGAGTTGGCGAGCCAAGAATATCTTCTACAGATAGAAGCTGACGCGCGTCTCCTCCAAAGCTAATCGTCTTCACTTGATGTTCTAAAGTGTTGTGACTGCCTCCAGCTCCATCATCTTCACCCTCCTCCTCGTAGTGGTCCAGCTGTTTCTCGTTCCCACCTGATCCTCCCGTCCGACATGAGATCCAAGTTTCAACAGGGGACCCGAAGTCAGCTGATTTCCTCTTCTGCTTCTTCAAGACTATGTCGCCCAAAGCAAAAGCATCACAAGCCTCGATAACGGCACCAACTGCAGCAACAAGTCGTAGCTCTTGAATCACCACCGCAGCTGCAACAGAAAACAAGACGCCAGCTAGAGCGTTGCTGGGGAGTCCTCCCGACGTCGAGTTCTCCTTCTTAGCCTCATTTCTAGAACAAACGAGTATAGAAATCACACCCACAATCGTAGCAACAGCTAGTATTCCTGCTGGTACCGAATACCAGCGAAGGAAGCCAGGAGTTCTTGTAGCAACATGCTGGGCAAGATGTTGGGTGCCATAGTGTCGATTACGAACCCGCTTTTGCGACGACGTGAGTCCTGACGAGTATCGCAATCGTGGAAGGCGAAAAACTGCACGCCTGACGTCGGATGATTGTTCCTGGTGACTTCCTTCAGGAGCAGAAGCAGAGGCAGCGGCAGGAGCAGACGTAGGAAGAGACTCAGCAAGCGGAAAAATAGTGTGACCCTCCACGGCAGCACCGGAGGTTGCCGTTGCGTCAGCATACGACTCGGTAGCCCCTGCGAGAGGTATTACAGTATACTCAGCAACAGCGGAGACGGCAAAAGACTCAAATAAAGCTACGGGAGTAGCATCATTCTCCGGCGCTTCGACAGACACAGTACTAAATTGCTCCACAGCAGTAGCTGCAGATTGTCCCTCGGCAACACCTTCAGTCTTGGTCGGATGTGAGAAAGCCCTTCCTTCGAAAGAGGCGCCATCTTCTTGTGATGCGCCCATCTTCTTCTTCTTCTTCGAAAGAGGGTTCGTCTTCTTCTTCGCTGAAGATGTCATTCTGAAAATTTCTCGTTCTGGCGATGTCTCGAAATGGTCCGACGTCATGCCTGGCATATCCTCAAGCGGTCGCCGTGCTTGTGATGTTGCCAAACGATCCTCCAACTCGTGGCCCTGACCCTGTTCGTGGGGGCGCTGTTGTAACAAAACTTCTGGCCTCAACGCAAATTTTCGTGACGTAGATGCCACACTGGCCGCAGATGATGCGCCTCCTCCAGGTGATGACGCCCTTGTGGAACTTCTATCACCTCCTACTTCTAGTCTTGTAGTATTCTTTCTCTTCTTTGTTCGCAGTGCCAGTGTAGTGTCCGCAATTAGACGACTCTGCGAAGCCTGGGCTGCAATACTAGAAGACTCTGATCTCCTGCCCAGCGTTCTACGAGTTGCGCCCCCTACTTGCGATCTTCGGGGCTGGTTACCGCTAGACTGAGCCCTATCGTAGTTGATGTTGGCTCCAGAATTAGAGTAATACTTCGGCAGTCTGGGCCCTTGTTCTTCGTCTGGGGATAGCGCATAACCGTGCTGGCGATTGCCTGAACGAGTCTCCTCAGCAAGCGCGTTCTCAGCACGGCCCTCAGGGTAAAACAGTTGCGCTCTCCTAGACTGCACAGACGCAAAAGCCTGCGCCAAATGGTTATAGGGCGCTTTGTTGATGTGACTTGGTTGCTCAGAACCAGAAGTAGAAGACGAGCTTCTGTTTGGTACTACATTGCCTTGGGCTGCGTTTTCCTCAAGACGCGGCTTCGCTCTTCTGTGTTCGTCTTCTGAGACTCGTCTTGTGCTTTCGTCCTCCTCTAGAAACCGTGGCCGTTTTTGTCTGCCTCTGGAAGAGTAGTCGCTCTTCTGTTCTCGAGTGGAAAAGCTACCGCTTGTAGTTGTATTCTCCTTGGCACCTCCCAAGTCTTGGCGTTTGCGTGCTCTGCTCCTTGGTAATGCATGTTGTCGTGCTTCTCTCTGTTGAAACTCTTTGCCATCTACCACAGCGTCCCCCTCTGCATGCTCCTCCGACACTACGCCTTCCCTTCTCAGCACTGCAGCAGGCGGCTGACTGTATGTGGATTTAGAACTGCATGAAGGTGTCTGGCGGACGAAGACAAAAGGCTTCTCACCACGGACAAAAGCAGGGGTCAGCAGTGGTCGTGGCTCCAAACTGACAACGGGCCCCCTTGGTTCAACGCTCACTTCTCGCCTCTTTAGTGGTAACGATTCAAGCTGCTGGCCGTGGCAGCTAGGATTATGCTGCTCCAACTGCTGGCGCCCACTCTGTTGGGGGTGTTGCTGCTCACGTTCGTGCCCTTGCTGTCTTGACCGTACTACAGCTCCTGGCTGTCTTGACTGCCTCTTTTCCATGGGGGAAGATTCTATCCGAGATAAGCTACCGCCTCCTTCTAGTATTAGAGGTAGGCTCTTGGTGTTCGTCTATAATGTATCCCCCTTGTTATGGCTGTCCCCCTTAGGAGAGCCATAACAAACGGTAACAAAAGCACCTGTAGCCTACCCTTAATAGTATTCGACGCACATCTTCGCGCGCCTCTAGTACTAGTGACGACGACTGGTCGCGGGTCGGTAGTTCGGGCGCCAGTTCTCTAGAATTCGAGGCCTTCTTTAGACCAGACGGCGTAGAAGGGCTCGCGCTTTTTTCTTTGACAAGATTTGTGGTTTGTATTTCTAGACGAGCGCTCTGCGCTGGTTCTTTTTGTGGTGAGCTAGAAGCTGGCAGTTTCTGTGGTAGGCTAGTGGGTACTCTTCGGGGTGGACTAGAGATATCTTCCATTGCTGACCGAGTAAAACCCTGCCGCGGCGGACTAGAGGTTGCCGCTTCTCCTACGGAATCCACATTCGTCGATGTCATCTTTGACTTTGCCACCGTTGCACTAGACGCACCTGCACTCGTGCTCGAAGCAATTGCGTCCTCATTCTGATCTTGTCTCGGAACAGCACAAGCTGCCTGCCTTTGCTCACGCACCAGGTCAGCCATGGCTTTATTTGAAGACAAACTAGTACTCGAGCCAGGTAGTTGTGTGTCATCCACAAGTGACCGAGTAAAATCCAGAAGAGGCCCTGATGATGTTCGCGAAGTCGCAGCCTGATGATCTTGACTCATGGTAGCACTGTCTTCCACCTCGTTCACTACTCCAGTCTTGACTACTCCAGTACTGACGTTGTCCATCTTGTCCTGGCTGTCTAGAGTTGTCATCTTCGTTGTCTTCTTGTTATTATGGTTCGCCTGGGTATCATCGTTGTCACCTTGTGTTACTCCTTTATCGTCTTCGATGTCATTCGCAGTCACCGCCTTCTGCTGTTCGACCTTAGCAGCAGCACCATCTCCACCTCCGCCGCCGTTGCTCGTGTCCTCATGAGGAGCAGACGAATCGTAATCGCCTCCCTCACCGTCTTCATACTGTCCTTCTCCTTCCCCACCTCCATTTTCGTCGTACTTTTCTTGCTCCCACCCCCACCAATACGCAAGATTTTCGTCTGTGTAGTAATTCTCATCACCCCAATCCCAATCTTCATCATTCCACTCTTCAGCCTCCCACCCCTCAGGGGCCCACACGGTTGGGTCTTCTTTCCTCTCGTCTTCTTTATTCTTCTCCCGTTTCTTGTCTTCTTGCTTCTCTTCTCTTCTCGTCTTCTCCTCTGCCACAGCACTAATGCCAACGCTTTTCGAAGTCGATGCATTTCTTGAAGAGGGTACTGCAGAACCTGCGGCACTGTGCAGCTTCTTCTTGACAGGCGGAATTACAAATCTAGAAGGAGACGCGGCTTCTTGTGGTTCTCTCTTAGACGGGGCTGCGGCTTGATCATGAGGAAGATCCCTATCTCTATCTGGAATGTCATCCCATGGAGAGAAAGGAGGCGAGCCAGAAGCCGTTGTAGGCAAAGCAGCGGAAGAAGCCACTGGGCGCCTGTTATTTCCATCTTGCTGATGGGTTCCATGATCAGCAGAGTTGTAGCGTTCCTGCGTTTCTTGGTAAAACATTAACGGCGCAGCCCCTCGGCCTTCGCCTCCAGGATCATCTCTCTCGCCCTTGTTGGCGTCGGCCTCTCGCGGCAGTACAAGAGTGCTTGCTGGTACTCTTCGTTCGGCACTTCGTTCGTTGTCATTCTTACTTCTAGGGCGGCAGCTTGTTTGAAGTGGTACAGAAGTGCAGCTTCTTTCGTGAGGATCTTCACTTTTTTGCGTAGTAGATGTGCTGGCTCTATCCTGAGCAAGGCGCTGGCTTTCTTGCTCTACAATTTTACTTTGCTGCTTATCTTCCCACACGGCCTCGCCATCCTCCTCCCCTGCAGAGAGCATGGAAAACCCACGGCGACGATTCCGGCCCCGCTCTCCTTTGCTACCATTAGAGGCTACGAGTTCGCTGTCATTTCTAGCGCGCATATCTATGGCTTCCCTACTTGAAGAAGCCATAGAGATGCGCATAGAGGCGCCATCTTCCAACCCTTAGCACTAAGCCCTTTTGAAGGTGATGCTTTTGGTGTTTTCGCTGGCAATATCGCCCTAGAAGAATTGGGCGCACTTCTACCACTAGACCCGTGCTCCTTCTGCTCGTCCTTCTCCCCGCCGGCTACTCCTTCTTCGCTCTTGTTTCCGAGCAACAAGTTGAGACGCCGCCCCATTGCGTCAGCCCGGCTTTGTAAGAGCAGAAGCAGACTTGCTGGATCCTCCGTAAATGCGTCAGCATCACTTGAAGCGACCCTTAAAGCCAGTCCCTGCTGCACCTCCCGCAGCAAATTTGGCACTTCGTCTTCGTCTAGTAGCTGAGCCGATGAAGCTGTCGGCCTAGCACTGCCCGCTCGTTTCTTGCCTTCTGTCTCGTTGCGTCGCAAGACTTCTCTGTATTTCTCAGCTAGTAGTGCAGAAGAGACACGCAAACGGGAGCGCGCTTGAGTCCCCGAGGACAAAAGACCAGGAGGCCCCTTGCTGTCAGAAGCAAGCGCACTCTGCATTATGCTTGGCATCTTTCTTGCTGTTTGTCCTTCATCCAGTCTGCTTGCTCAGTGCCTACTTCCCAAAGGAAAGTCCTAAGCGTTAGCAATTTCATCGCCTACAAAGCTACTCTATCACAGAGAAAGAAAGTTTGCCAACCCACACAAGGACGAGTCAGTTTGGTCTACTAAGTACTGCGAAAAAAATCCTAATTATCAGCGCGCTCTTTGCTTGAGGCGACTTCAATTTGTGGGATTCAGTGATCTCTTCAGGGCCTTTGAAATAATGTGGCCGAACTTGACTGCTCTCGTCACGCAACAGCTGCCATCCATGTATTTGAGAAGTGCGCGAGCACTTGCATACTTTGCCCAAGTTCAGTTGTCGCCAAGTTTCAGGAGACTTGCCAGCTTTGCTTTTTACGCTTGTGCTTACTTGCATACGTGAAAGCATGCCCACGATCATGCCCAGACAGGTCCGCAATCCATCGCCAGAGGGTGGCTATAGCTACAAGATGAGAGTCGTCTAAGGTGCGGCGCTTCGTCTTGTTTTGTCGTGCTGTCCTTACTTTCACGCCGTTCGGAGCGCCAAGCTTTTGGTAAAAATCACAAAGCCTCTAGAAATGCCGCCGCAACTCGCAAAACCTCTAAGAAAGCCGCTGCAACTCGCGAGGCCTTCTGTCTAGAAAAGCCGCCGCCGTCCTCGCAAGTCGCGAAGCCTCTTCTTGAGCAGCCGCTGCCGCCGCAAGACCTCTAGAAAAGCCGGCGCCGCCCTCGCAAGGCGCAAAGAAAGCCTGTCGGACAACCGCCGCCGTCGCAAGTCGCAAGACCTCTAGAAAAGCCGCTGCCGTCGCAAGTTGCCAGACCTCTAGAAGAGCCGCGGCCGCTCTCGCAAGACGCAAAGCCTTTGGAATGGCCGACGCTGCCGCTGCAAGTCGCAAAGCCCCTAGCAGTGCCGCTGTCGTCGCAAGTCGCAAGACCTCTAGAACAGCCGCCGCCGTCCTCGCAAGACGCAGAACCTCCTGAACAGCCGCGGCCGTCCTCGCAAGGCGCAAAACCTCTTGGACAGCCGCCGCCGTCACAAGTCGCAAAGCCTCGAAAAAAGCCTTTACCGTCGCAAGCTGCAAGACATCTAGAACAGCCGCTGCCGTCCTCGCAAGACGCCTAACCGCCTGAACATCCGCCGCTGTCGCAGGTCCTCTATAGCAACCGCTTCCGCCGGAATCAAGTGCGACCGTCTGTTAGGGTTCTTCCGATTCTCCCCTGCTGCCTGCCTTGGGTGGGTCTTGCGTCGCGCTCTCCCGTGATCGGCTGCAGAGATGTCACCCCAAGGCTCGGTAGGGAGAATTGCAACGGACCGCAACGCTGCTGCTGGCGCAGTCGGGGCATCATGTAAGACGGTTGAACGCCAAGAAGAAGAAGAAGTAGTAGCAGTAGTAAAAACTGTAGTATTGGCCCCCGTACACTCCTTGCAGGTGTGTGCGGAGTAGTAGAAGATATCCCCCAGAGTCTACCAGATCTTCTTTCAGGTGTATTTCCCCCAGAGTCATCCAGGAGCAGAATGGTACGCTTTCAATCTTGACCCTGACAAGTTACCCCTGAGTCTTGACCACTCGAAAGACCCTGCTTCATTCCTCGAAAAAGCCTATAAGAAAGAACTACTGGCTCTTCGCAATCCGTTTCCTAAGGGAGCCTACAGCTTTTTTCACGATGTTTCGTGTCACCTCAGGCTCAAATTCCGTACTCAGCAACACGTCCGCATGCTTCATCCGCTTATCCAAGGTCATCTGGCTGTCAATGCGCTTTGCTGCTTCGTGGTTTAGCGAAGTCAAATGTCGTAGAAAAGAAGTTTGTTACACTTGGAGGCATAGAGATAGCTAAAAATGCTAGAGATAGACTAAATAGCTTTGAGTAGTTCTAAGTGCACATAGAATGAATGACGTATCCGTATCCAAACAAGAAGCAAGACCCCGCGACAGTGGCTGACTTGTTTAGAATGATCGAAGATGCTCTCAAACAAGGCGGATCACAAAAACACGGATCAAAGTTTCCGTATGAACATCTCAGATATCAAGCTAGTATCTTCTAACCCTCAGATAACAACTCGCCATAACTCTTCAGATTTAGAGTCCCGATCCACGACTCTTCGAATTTGCTCTTCTCTAGACACGAATACAACCCACACTTCGTCGCAGGTCCATCTAGCTTCTAGGAGGGCCGCGGCATCGAAAACGACAATTGGGCTTGAACCGGAACCGCCACTGTGGCTGAGGACGGAATGAAGATAGCTAGGGGGGTGATTTTTGTTGTTCCTTTGCTGACAGTCGAAGAGCGTCTTCATGGGAGTGAAGATGTGCATCTTACTAGACTTAATTTAGTACTCTCTATTTCCTTGATAAAGGTATCTCACTACAACAGCGAGAGAGTCAAAGTTCTAAAATCGACAATCTTCTGCATCATAACATATAAAGTGTATCCGGTTCGGATTGGAAAAGTGACTGCTTGAAAGCAGTAAGTGGCCTGGGCTCTTGTTTCGAGTCTGCAGTGGCTGGCGAAGCGCCAGTGTTCGGAGACGTGTAGTAAGAACCTGCAAAAGAAAGGCCGACTGAGGTACTCAAAGATTAATCGTGGACGTTGTTTACTCAGTTCATAGGAACCATATTTGGAAAGACTGCGTACGTACTGAGCCCAAACCATTGAGGAGACAGCTCTGCGTGGTGTGTTACTCAGACATACAGATAAACTTCACTCTCAACGTTTGCGTGGAATCGGTCTTATTTCTTCTAAAGTAAAAGAACTATGGAAGGCGACTACCTTTCTCTCCCGCTTCGAGAAGCTGGGACATTTCATCGTAAGTAGGCCATACGCTGAATGTCAATGTGTGGCCACACTATTCCGTTCAGTGCCTGTGGAAAGTGCAATAATTCAAGTTCAGACCTGCATCGGTGGCCGCGGGTCCTGCTGGATCATTGATCAAGGCTATTTCTACAGAGAGTGACGAATCGTTGCCACCCTCACCAAGAGGACAGAACTTCGCTTCTGGCAGAGCAGTTTCTAAGAAGTCCCTCAGCAATCGCTTTCCCTCACCTGCAGGCGCAATCAATTCCTTCAGCGTTTTCCTCTTCAACAACAAGTAATTTGCCAATCCGATGACCAATCGACTGCGCGCGAGCAGCAAAGCTTCAGTGAGGCCAAAGTGCAAAGCGTCAAAGGTACCACCACAACACACACCAAAGTAGTCGGTGGATCCATCCACTTGCTCTGGGGGAGGCGTAGAGGCAGGCGACGATGCCGCACTTGAGTCCGCTCGGGAGCCAAAGAACTGCACATCAAGTGATTCTGCTAGACGGGAAGAGAAAGGGGATTAGAAAGTGACTATGCGCTGCACTGCTGTACGTAGCCACAAGAAAAAGTAGACATACAGCAAAACAGAACACACCCAGCCTCTCTACCCCTATCTATGTATGAAAGTATGTGTATCATGGTAAACATTGCAGATCCACCAATCTACTTGAATATACAACTAGAAGATGCTGGTGAAAATACAACTAGAGACAAGCTCAAGCTCATCATAATCAAAGTCAGCACTGCTTGCCTCCTCCACGCTACAGGATCCAGCAAGGTCTAGGTATTCGGTGCGAAGTTCGGAACAAATGGCGCTTTCCAATTCGTTTCGTTGCTCGCAGATGGATCGATCGCAGACGAGAGAAGCGATCTCCAAGCCCCGAGGCAAGACGAGTTTCATCTTGTCGCCTGATAGCCTGTCGATGATGGATTAGAGGAGGTCTATTTGTAGGAGCAGTTGGAAGGCAAGTCTATTTCTCTGCAGCCAGAGTTGAAAAGTTCGACAGTCGTGTGAGTATGATCGTCTGGCAAAAGTCCACTACTCAGCCATGGAGTCAGAGATTACTATAAATATGCTTTCTAATTGATGTTCTATTTTTTCGTTCTAGTTCAACAGTTACTCAATCCAAGAAGAGCCTTAATGCTTCCCCATCTTCCCACTTTTCAACATAGCGGTTGCTTTGAGGTTCCCGCACAGCAGAGTCACATCGCGCTGAACTTCTTAATCTGTAGCGTAGATGGCACCAACCCACTCGAACAGGCCTTGTTGTTGAGAGTTCGTGGGGCTTACGCCTAGACCTGCTGGCGTACCAAGCATAGTTGTACGAGACGAACCCGATCGCAGCAATAAGGCAAAAACCGGTAGCTTGGCAGGCACCAGGGACAAGCCTGCTCGTATCATATCGACTCGGTTGCGGGTCACGGCTGAGAGCACCAACAATGCGGCTGGCCGTGACAGCGGTTTGGCCCGCGGCTCAGCGCAGGGACAAGAAGCACTCAACTGATTGCCCATTTTGTTTGATTTTAGCTTCCAGGGTGTTTCCTTGATGTAGCACCACAGGCGTTGTGGCGAGGAAATGGCGAGAGTGACGCGCATGCGAAGAAGAGAGCAATGCTCTAAGTCTTCATATTGTTGGTTGACATGATGATAGTCTACAAAAATTAGCAAGTAGATGCTTCTGCCACGAAGAAACACGTCAGCAACTAGACCGACTTTTCCCTGAGTAACTTTTCGCTGTCGCATTTGCCGTGTTTAATTTCGGTTTTCTAAAATCTACAGCCAGTTTTTTTCACCATACACAAACAACTTCCGTTTTTTGACCATACACAAAAAGGATACGTAGAGCAAACCTAAATGCGCACGCACCAGCGAGTCGCACTATGGAATACTAGAGTTCAACATAACTTTTTTTGACTATGCGTTCTTGGAGAGCTAACTTTGAAGATAGTCACAAGATCGTGAACAATTTTAAGGTTCTCGGAATGCCATTTGTGGGACAGGACAGCGCCATGATCCTGGTGCTGCAGTTGCCCCTTGCTGTGCTGCTCCTGATGGTGGTGCAGACGATGGTCCTGATGGTCCTCCATTATACTGTGTTGCTCCAGCAGGAGTTGGCGCACCATTCCCGGCGCACTGTCTTAGTCTTTCCATTTGAAACGCAGTAAATTTTAGCTCTGAACATATGCGCGCGCTTTTGCGTGCGCGTAGCTGCGTGTGTGTGATATAACAACGTCGAAAAAGTGTAGAAAAGTGGCCACCAATAAAAAAAAACCTCAAAGATGTACGCTTTTCCCCAAATAGCTATACAAGGAATTGCCGCTGTTCCTTTGAAAGTTACGGCTCTAAGCATCAAACAGCGTCAAGTCATAAATATTCAAGTGCGTACTCTTATACACGAAGAAGACTTAGACTTAGACAAAAAATTTGGTTCATCTAAGAATAACAAAATTATCAAAACTTCTACAAGCTGTACTTGATCTAATAGATACCATCACCCAACGCATCTAGTATCGTCATCCAATGTCTAGAGTACACCTAAGTACACGTACACTCATCTACATTCAGAACTATTTGAACCTAAGTACCTACAAAGAACTACAGAGCAAAGATCCACCCCAAAGAAGCCCTAGTCTCTTGCTTGGAAAGCAAAAGCAGGTTTATGACCTCTTGGCGAGAGGGTTGGCATTTGTCGCAAGTGCATCGTTGACTGGGATCTGTCCGGAAGTTGGAGTTGCAACCCCTGAAAACAAAAACTCTCCGCACTGATGCCAAAGGCTGACAATCGACGCGCAGCTTGCACATTGGCTCCTGGTGCATTGTTGGAGGCTCCCCTAATATTAGAGCTTTACTACAGGATTTACAGCCTAGATCTACAGCCTGAGCCACACCTTGAGCCAAAATGGCTACGGGTCCGACTAACAAGTCACGTCATGGAGCCTCTTTTTACGTCATTCTAGCGCATTTGAGGCCCATCAGCCATCCTGTGCCTTCTTTCAGAAGAGCAGAGTAACCGAGTGATAGACTATCAAGTATAATTCATCAGGTGAGAATGTTGCAACCTTAACATTGAAGCTTCCTGTAGCTGCGCCAGCGGCTGTATACTTCGGCAGCGGCGCGGCAGTAAAGGTTGGCAAGATGCCTGGTGTAATCGCTGTTCGGGGGAAAGTAGCAGGTTTCTTATTTAGTACTCCAGAAGAAGAAGATGCTCCAGAAGATGAGGAAGAACCACCTTCAATATTATTGATGCCTGCTCCAGCGAGGCAGCCAAATGCTGACGAAGCAGTTGTGCTAGAAGATATCGCTCCGCCTGGTGCAAAAGAAGCTCCTCCTGGGTCGTTCACCGGGTTGAACATCAACGCGCTGGAAGCAAAGGGTGCTCTGCCAAATTGAATCTCCCGCGAACGTAAATCAGGCGTGCCCAAAATGGAGGCTCGTCTCAGGAAGTCGGATCGGTTGAAATTCCCAGCGCCTCTGTCGCCGTTGCCGCCGCTTGTTCCGAGGTATGAAAGGCAAGGAAGGTCTTCACAGCTTTACCAGTCAACCCTCCACCTGGCAAGCCAGAAAGCCGGCACTTTACTTAGTTCTCGTGGTACCAACGGATTCCATAGGCGTTGATTTTCCACGCCAATAAGGGTGCTCTAGTTCTCGTAGCCCACGTTATACTATTCCTGACTCTAAGTCTTAGACTTAGAGTCTACAAACCAACACAGCACTGTGCGAGTCCTTCCAGCATTACTATTTCTAACAACTCTACCAAGCAACACACCACTTCTGTACGAATTCAACCAGCACACCACTATTACTACTCCCCATAAAGATGCCCCTCCAAGTTGAAACCTTCCTCCTTGTGCTAGAGTTTGAGTCCTCAGGCGCATGCCCGCAAAGCCCATCTGGTGTTGCAAACTCGGGTCTTGTTCCTCTACTACAGCAGATTAGAGGTGGGCGCGCAAGAGCTGCATTCTCAAGACGGTGATCCTTGCTTTCTTCCTTAGTTGGGAAAGAGTCTAGGGGAGAAAGAATCAGGAATGTTAGTGCAAAATGCCACGACTTGGGAAAGAGTGTAGGGGAGAAAGAATCAGGAATGTTAGTGCAGAATGCCACTTGATAACCCGACTTAAGTTGAGACTCCACAGCCATCCTGTTCAGTGCTCATAGAAGCACCCGAGCCCGCTCCTCCCCCACCACCTCCTCCAGTAAGTAGCTCTTCTGATGTCGAGGATGAAGCGTCTAGATGGGCCGTGGATAGAGGTGGCGCCATTTTTTGCATTCTTCAGAACGGTCTTTTTAACCTCCTTCCTCCTTGTACAGTGAAAGAGTTATATCCTCTGAGTAGTCTTTGACAGAACAAGACTACTTCTAGATCATGTAGGGAAGGTTGGACACGACAGGAGGTTAGCGATGAAGGATGCAATAATATGGGAACCCGCCTTAACGTAGCTGCCATCGAGGCACTCTGGATGGCGTTGCCATATTTGTGCACCAAGACGCGTGGTCTTGGAGGTTTTTGTTCGTCTCTCGGAATCGTATAGTTGCGATGTAGCCAAACACTCGCGCGTCCAAGCTCTTCTGCATCTGCGCGTTTCGAAGGATCAATTTGCAAGGCGAGCAGGATAGTCTCACTCAGCACCTTTGTGCTTCCGGGGTCGGCGAGAGAAGCGAGGCTGGTAGAGTAGTGGTGGAGGTAGTGGCGAGGGAGAGGGTGGATGGGAGTTTGAGCTAGTATAGGAGAAAGCTCAATTATGGGGAAAGGAGACGGGAAATAGAAGTAAGCCTGAATGCAGCATCAGATGCGCTAGGAATGCAATATTAACAGTCCATTTTACCAAGAACATCCAGAACCTAATAAAACTTACTAACCACCTCTATCACTCAACACAAGAAAATCCATCCCAATCATATCCAAATAAGTACGCGCCCCCAATCTTCTTTTCGAAATCCATCCTATCCAATGCCTCCGACAGCTGACTAAAATCCCCATTCATCTGCGACATGGACTCCTCAATCAGCGCTTGATAAGGATGCACACCCGCGATCATCTGGTGCAAGAGCACGCCAGCAGCCCAGACGTCCACGCCGCATCTTATTTGAGGACGACTCCCGACCACTTCTGGTGCCATGTAATGGACAGTGCCGCACTTTTTGCGCTCAGCAAAAGGGCCGTCGGTGGCGTCTGGAAAGGGAAAGAGAAAGACAAGTATGTATGAGTTGCAAGGTCTCCGTCAACGTCTCTGCTTGCCTTTTGCTGCCGCGCCATCTCTATCGTTGTATGTGGCAGAAGAACCATGAAAAAGTGCTGTGAAGAGTAACAAGGTCTCGTCTAATATACTAGAAATAAAGTAGCCAAGTAGAAGTTAAGTATAAGCCTTCTATACTAGAAATAAAGCCTAAGCCAAGTAGAAGTTAAGCATATAGGATATAGGATCGAAATAATACCCTGTGGCTCACAGCACCACCCAAAGTCGGCTATCTTCAGAAACCAGCGTCTGTTGAACAGCAAGTTCGCTGGAGTTAAGTCCCTGTGCACGATCCTCCTCTCCGCTAGGTAAGTCATAGCATGCACTAGATCACCCCATATTTCTGCGGACAAATCTTCGGGCAAACCGCCGTAACATTGCGAACTCGCATAGATTCCCTGCGCTTCACTCGCGGCTAGACTGTGCCAATCCAATGGCGCATGGAAGATGTTCAACAACGAGCCGTTTGGACACCAATCTAGAAGCATGCATTAGAAGCATCAGAGTTTCCCGCTACAGAAGCGTATCCAACATCTCCCGTTACATGAAGCCCCTTGCTGGGCAGATGGGTTTATGAGATGAATCGAGGCTCCCTATAATGTACTTAGTCCTCGACGTCGATACTCCATTTGTTAGATGAATCGACCTACATGCCTTAAATGTAGAGGAACCGGTCATCCTTGTCGAATAGTTCTAAAAGTCGCACAATCGAGTGTCCGCCTTTATTGCTGTCTCGACCGGCTGTCGCTCGTTGATGCAGTTCTACCTCCCGCGATAGCTGCTCCAGCATTCCCCGCTCTCTGTAGGGTCTCTGGTCGACGATCTTCAAGGCGTAATACCTGTGCTGCCCACAGTTGTTGTAGTGGACGTCGCGCCACTACTTGTTGAAGACTGTCAACAAATTCCAATATGAGCAATATCTTCGAAGTAGTAGTTGCTTATATATAAGTACTCGAAAAACTGAAATAACCGAGTTACTGACCGAAATAAGGGAGGTACCTTAACGCCAAGGCTACTCTTCCTTCTCATGAGTAATATCGCGGTTATTCTGATCAGTTACTTGCTTATTTCAGTTTTTCGAACTTCTGAAGCTCCGCATGAGTGCAAAATAATGACAACTAGCCGCTAGCTCCAACGATAACTAGACGCTAGTATGAGTACTTCTCATTCGTTCCCGGCTGATCATTTCTTCTGCTGTTCGGCCGTATATCTCCCCTCGCAGACATTGGGGCTCCGCTCGACACAGACAACGTCGCTCGACTTCCTACTGCATGCTGAGTTGCTGCACTGACATAATCGAGGTTGCGGACTTTAGTTAGATCTTGCCCAATCTTGAAGCGCATCTTTGGGTAAGCGCATCTTTGGCACTTAAGTTTTTCCCTTGGAAATGGAAGGCGGTCAAAGATACCCTTTGCCTTTATAGGATGAGTCTATGGGTTGGGTTGGGTCAGGTTAGGTTATGGACCCTTCACATTGAGCCTTACCTTGCATACCAAAGCATAAGCACCTTCGGAAATAACGCGCTCGTGTATCTCAAAGCGTCGACTCAAATCTGGCGGAAGACGCCGAGGCATCGTGGTGAGAGACCGTGTAGAGGGGGAGCGGGACTCTGGAGCTGGGGGAGCCTGTTGCTCTGATGATGTTGCCCGTGGTGGGTTAGAGTTAGCGCCCTGCCCTCCTCCAGCTGGGTGTCCTCCTCGACTATGACTATGCGCACTAGAAGATGCCGCAGAGACCTCGCCATTCTTGTTTTTCCCATCATCTTCTCCCACGATACTCCGCGGTCCTCCCCCTGGCGTTACAGGGCCGCCAACAGATGGACCTCCTCGCAGAGCGAAATTTCCCGCAGCGCCTACCCTTGGTTCCCTTGGACTAGCAAGCTGGGCTAAAGTTGGGAACTCCAAAAGCTTTGGCTCAAAGCCTTTTGGCTGCGTAAATTCAAATGGCTTGCTGGTATTCACGCTGTTGCTTCCTTGTTGATCTGCGCCAGCATCTTTGTTAGAGGCTACGCCCTTGCATTCCAGAGAAAATCGTCCCTGAGTCAATTTCGACTTGAAAAAGAGCCAAGAATAGTCCTGAGAAATGCACTGTTGCAACGACCCTTAACATTGCTTTTACCTGCGTTCGAATTGCTATTGCCTGCATTCGAAGCACTATTACCACTCGAACCACTCGAGGAACGACTCGAGCCTCCTCCTCCGCCACATATAGAAAAATTATTCGTCCTCAGTCCAACACTGAGTGCATAGCCTGGAGGACCAGGAGGTGGACCCGCCGCAGGATCCTGCTCGTTGCGGCGAGCACTTAGGGGTTCTAATAATTTGCCAAATTGTAATCCACTCAGTAGTTGCAGCGGCGAAGAGAGCTTCAAACCCTGTGGTCGCCATCCTCCTGCTGCGGCTTTAGGCGCTGGAGACGGAGTCGTCACAGGGTTCATTGTTTCCACTTGATGGGAGAAAATACCTGGGGAAGGACAGCACGGTCTCTCTTTTGTAGTTCATCTGCTTACCTTTTTACGCCTGTGCGTAGGGATCCACAAAGCCTGGCGTTTTATGCAGCAGGGGCAACTTCTTCACTTAGAAGGAGGACTTCTAGTGGGGCGTTTTTCATGTTCTTGCATTGAATTCATCTTTCTTGGGGAAGTCTAGTGTTTGCCGCTTTCAGTACGGCACGTAAGTTAGTAGATACTTTGTTGATAGTACTGGCCGAAGTGAAGTTTCTACTAGCTCTTTCTGCTATCGCGTGTGGTTCTCTACTTCTCTCCATTGTTACTCACTCTCCTAGTTAGTTTGGCCATCAACTACATGCGTTCGCTGTACCGCCGTACTACATGTGGAAAGAGTCGCGGGGGCGGAGGACACAGTTATGCCTCCCACAGTTATGCCGCAGCCTTTATGTCATGTCTTGCACTTTTCCGAGTAGAGAAGACGCTGAAAAATCGTTTTTCTTGGCAACTCGTGTGAGGCCCATGGATAAGCGTGCTGCTCTTTCTTTTCATGGAAATGCACAAAAAAAAGTCTCAGCCAGTCTCTATGAAGACTTCACGCGCATGCACTAGCACCAAAATCATTCACTTGAATATCCGCAGAGGTGCGTAATCATGTCTCTGCTGTTCATCAACCATATTAAAAGTAGATCTCTATCCTCCCACCCTACTTCTCATCCTCATCAGACGAGCTACAATTCCACGTCATCTCCTGAATCATCGTCATCCAAGTCTGGCACTTTATGGTGCTTGAGGTCCTTCGTCAGAAACTTCAAAGCCTTGGAAAGCGCCTCAAGTGTGTCCCTGGTTCCGGAAGAAGACAAGGCTTCAGTAATTTTCGGGTGCTTTGGTGTTAGAGAAGATAGATTAGATACGTGTAGAAAAGAAAGCAGATCAAGATAGTTGATTATGCGTTTTTGAAAGATGAAGAGTTCGCTTATTCATCATACGATAAGGCAACTTATGTTTATTCTCGAAACTGCGTCCATGCTTCTTCATAACTGCAAGTCCCTTAATTCCATGAAGAGAGTGCGTAGAGGTCCCTCTTCCGAGAAAAGGCGATATCCGACGTCCGTTAGCGAACGCAAAGCCTATTTATCATATGTAATTTCTGAGAAGTAATTCCCTTCGTTTCGTAGAGGTCACCATCGAATTACTACGGCAGTGAAAAACAGCAAATGAATTCAGTGCCGGCCCTATAATAAATAGAAATATTTATTCGGATGTAATATTAACAAACGTAACAAACGCAAAACAAAATCAGTACCCTAGGAAACCTCTGTGCTCTGTCATCCCGCAAAATGGCTTGAGCTGCATGCCGCAAGGCGTCTAAGAGTGGGCCATTGTGGTCGTGAAAAAAGCTACGACCGAAATAGGTTGTGACGAAGTCCTTGGCTAATCCCGTGATCCCGCTACTCCAACCTAGAAGGGAGAGCCAGTTGGAGGCGAAGCTTCGCACTAGTCCAGGCTGATCCGATCTCGCAGGGGCGGAAGTGTCGGGGGCATTAGAGAGTCAACGTCAAGCAATCAGTCAATCGAAGATCAGTTTCTTGCCTCGAGGACAGGGCGGCGTAGAGAAATAGAAGCGCTTCACCTGCTCACCATAGTTGTAGAAGCGCTTCACGCTCAAGAGCACATAAAAGCACTATTGAAGCAAACTTGTGAATGCGAATCTGAGAAGACCGTATTACTTACTAAGCGAATCTATTATATCCACTTCCACGACCACGTCAAAGCCTCCATAGCTCCCTTCTCCAGCGCCTGCGCTACTTGATCGAAATGCTCCACGAGTCCGTTGCGAAACTCTCGAATGCCGTTGATGATCTCAATGTAGCTTGGATCGGCCTGTACGGTCTCACCATCATCCGCCAGAACCGTTTTCAGGTTCGTCGAGGACAAGAGAAGGGAAGGGGCATACGAATAAAAGAGCAGAGACGTCGAGAGGCGTCGCATTTTTGTTGTTCAAATGAATTAAGTATATGAATTTGACAAAAGTGTAGTTGTAGGTCAAATGTATTTTCTAATAAAGTTCAGGAAAAGTTGTAAAACATGGTCGCTCGTCTCTCCTCCGGGGGTTGGGGGCCTCCAATGATGAGTTTTAATATCAGTGCCAATTCGTTATCTGGTCTCTCTTCTTTCTCGTTCTGTTGTATGCCGTTTCTCTTGTACGCCGGGTCTCTTCCTCAGCTTAGAAAATTGACATCACCTTATTAAGGCGGGCGAGAATGTGCAGTCCTAGTGCTCACAAACAAGGTGGATGCCGTCTCTCTTCCTCAACTTAATACGGAACAAGAGAGCACGCACACCAATCAGTGGTTAGGAAGATCTAAGAGAGGACTTTCACCGTAGAACCATGGAGAATGAGACCCCTCTAGTAGTAGCAGAGGATTTTCAACAAACTAGAATGGAAAAGGAAGGTCTAAGAGAGGACTTTCATTGTAGAACCATGGAGAATGAGACCCCTCTAGTAGTAGCAGAGGATTTTCAACAAACTAGAATGGAAATTTTTCACTGATGTTGAGCGATCGATGTTGTATTTAACATCTGAAAACGAACCAACGTTGCCTCTATAAATATTTGAACAACTAGTGACTTCCTTCACAAAAATAAAACTCCTTCAGATGAAAACAATAGAAATCTAGACAGGTTGTTCTAGCCGCTGAGGCCTGAAGGCTGCTGGAGGCTCTCTCAAAATTTGCGCGTCTGCGGACAAGTGAGAACGATTGTCTTACGTACCAGTAGACAGGAGGGGTAACGACTATGTATACGTGACTTTATGATAATATGACACGCCTGAAGTAGCTGAACTCTTTTTCGATCCGAGCGAGAACGAAGCAATTATCTACCAGAGAGAGTACTTACTTAAGTTATAGGTTTTCTGTCTCCGAGTACTTCCCGAACTGACTCTGTGAGGGCAGTCTTTGCGCCAATGCATGCACTCTACATTCGGCAAGTTGCGCTTACTGCAGTTAAGGCACAGACCTGGTGGAGGCTTGGTCGTGTCATGGACTTTGCCACTCTCCCGTGCCTCATATATATTGGGAGCAGTCCATCCCGGACCGACCCGATTAGGACCGTCAGCCGTACTCCAACAAATCGGCCCTCGGCTATTTGGATCCGAGTATGGAGGTGGATTTGAATCTGGAGCAGGATCAAATTCAAAGCCAGGGTGGCGGTTAGAATTCTTCTTCTTGTTCTCCTTCTGCGCAATGAGAAATGGCGGATATGGAGAGGGATCAGGATTGAGGCTCATCTTCTTCGCAAGCAGGGCTGACAAGTCATCTAACTGGTCGTCTTCTTCCGTGGTCTTATTCGAGGCCGCAGCATTGTTGCATTCTTCAGACCATCTCCGACCCTTTTCCTATTGGGAAAAAAGACAAGGATGCTAGTGAAGAATGCAATGTGGCAACCCTTAGTCTTATCTTCTTCCGTAGTCTTCTGGGTTTTTTCTTCTTTGCTTGATTTTTTCTTCTTCGTTTGATTGTTTTTTTCTGTGCCCCAAGCGTGATCTTTTTGGCCTCGATCTCCACCAGCATCTTCTCTCGCATCAGCGTCAGCGCCTTGCGTATTGATTGCCTGACCGATGTGCCTGGCAAGAGGTAAGCCGAACTGTTGCGCATCTACTTTTTCTCCTTCCTTGTGCTTGTCTTTTGTATCTTTAGCTCCCGCAGTGAGTGTGGCATGCTCTTCTTCCGTGGAGTCGCCATCTCCTGTGACCTGCTCTTCTTCCGTGGCCTCATCTCCTTGTGCCGTGACCCGACCATTTTCCGTGACCCGACCATTTTCCGTGACCCGACCATTTTCCGTGACCCGACCATTTTCCGTGACCCGACCATTTTCCGTGGCCTCATGATTTTCCGTGGCCTCATGATTGTCCGTGGCGACATCACTCTGCCCCGTCACCTGACCACTTTTCACAGTTTCAGTTCCTCCTTCGGAGACAACTGCACGCGCATCTTCTCCTGAAAGAAACACCTCCAGAAACACGCTTTCGATTTTCGACATCTTTAGATTTAGTTTTAGACGGAAGAAAGAACTACTGCTGAATATCTATGAAGAAAGTAGGAACCACGTCTAAAGCAGTGCCCAAGATTACACCAAGTCAAATTTTGAATGAGTGAGACAACTGTGACTCCTTGATAATTCATTCCACGAGGACTATGCTCAAGATTGGCCAGAGATTCGGGGAAAAAATCGCCTAACAACGACCCACTTGATCGCACATGGTGAATATAGTAAACATACTCAGTCTCAAGATTATTTTTTTTCCGTTCTCACTCTTCCTGGAAGGCAAGAATTCGCTGTAGTGAAAGAGCTGGGGACGACGTGGAACTAGTAGGTTTTGAATTTCACCAGACAACGGCGCAGAGCAGTGCGACAAGTGCCATGAGAATAAGTGCTCCTTCTGGATGATGGACTTCCACCGAGCGACTTGGTCCGACTTCGGGATGGCCGACTGTCTTCCGGATGTGAAAGTCAGACTTTAGACCTAATGGGGCTGATTTTTCCCTTCTTGTTTTCGGTAGATCTTCACACTTCATATAACTCCACTCTCACAACTCCACCTCGGTCAGCCTTTGATGAAATAATGTTTGAACGGAAGAAGACCAAGGCATTACAGCTTTTCAAAAAACAAAGTATATCATTGAGCCGGAACATTAGTCTAGGTCGCAGAGTAAGGGTCACCAGGTGACTAAACGAGGCAGCTGAGCGCAATGGCCCCGACTTTACAAGTGGATCGATCGAAGAGACTGAGTCGTAGTGCAATGCGTCGTCTCGCTTCATAAATGATCACGATCAGCATCGATTTTTACAATAAAGGAGGAGGGGATGTCGCCGCAGATGTACATCTGAGGGAAAAAAGGGGCCGACGACGGGGAAAACAAATAAATGTGGTCGGAGTTGGAGAAATCTGTGCTAAACAAATCTGTTGCCTTGTGTTACTGTTAGGTAGAAGCGAAGCTTTATAATAAAACATGAGCTTGGTTCTTATAGGTGGTTATAATTGAAGATCAAGCACCAAGTCCTGCACCACCAAACCCAAGCCCGCCCGTTGATCCTAGTAGTCCTGCATAAGCGAAACCATCATCGTCCTGGTTGTCTTCTTCTGCTTCGCCTTTTTCATGATCCTCCTTCACGAAGTACAGCGCGCTGCTTGAAGATGTAGGATTTTTTCTTTGCTCATTGCTCCTGTTGCTCATTTTTATGTGCTCCGCTTGTCCTACTTCGGAAGATGCGCTAGGACTACCCGACGCTGGCTTAGCGAAGGAAGCCTTTTTAAACATCGAAGCAAGGCCAGAGGGAGCTCCTAAACTAGAGTTTGATGGTGTACCAAGTCCAAGACCGGAGGAGGAAGCACCAAGACCTAGGCCTTCATTTCTTCCTTCCAGAGTCTCTGGTGCGTCTGCGAAACTACTACTGCCGTCTGCTTCTTCATTCCGTCGTCCATTCTTTCCCTCAGCTGTACCTTTTCCCCTCTCTTTCGTGGTTGATTTGTCCGCTGCTATGAGCTGTTTCATTCGCTGTTCGTCTTTGAACTTGCGCATGTCCTTGGCCGAGTGGTCGCCGGTTACTGGTCCTGGCAGCAAATCTCCACTGCCGAAGCCGATGCCTGACCTGCCCGTGTCACTCCGGAACCCAAAGAACTGTCCATCCTGACCAATGCCAGCTTCTTTTTGCGCATCCGCAGTGAGAAATTCAGTGGCATTTTCCTTCTCGGTGGCGATACGGTCTTGCGTCTGCAAATTCGCCAGAAGCTTTTTCCGCTGGACGTCCTCCAAAGTATCTGCGGTTTTCGCCTGCTGCTTCCGCCGTTTCGCAGCTCGGTCGAGAGACAAGGCGGACTCTGATCGTTTCGTTCTCCCTCCACCTTCGAGATCTAGATCATTGGCAGTAGACGAGGACAGGCGTGGCCCAGTAGAAGAGGAAGAACCACCATCAACAAACGAACCTCCAATTCCTAGCGATCGGCGCTTAAAACTCGCACTTGAAGATTGATCTAGACCAGCATCTTCTACACCATTCATGCTCCGTCCAACAGTATCGGCATCGGCATTTTTCAGTTCGGCCTGACGTCTCCGGAACAAGGCGATTTTTCTATACTCGTGTTTTTGTCGCTCCATCCGCGCATCGCGACGTTCCTCGTTGCCCGGCTGACAGACGTAGTGCACGTCCACTCGGAAACAACAGTCGCCAATCCGTAACACTTGGCCATCGTAGAGTCGACACCCCGGCTCAGCCGCTGGCACTCGTTCACCATCGAGGAACGTGCCAGTTGTCGTCTCGAGGTCTCGGACATAGTAGCGGACCTCGTCTTCGTCGCCTGCAGCGCCTTGTTTGCTGGCTGCACCTCCATTCTCTGCGGTTTGCGCCTTCTCAGCACTGATCTGACAGTGCGCGTGCGCAACACCCGGCTTTCCGGCTAATTGCTCTAATACTGTGCCCAAAACTGCGCCAACGGGGTCAATTTTCAACTCCACAACCTCCCGGTTTTTGATCTTGCTCACGGTTTCCCAACTCTTCGCACGCTCAAGATGCTGCACATACCGCAACACCTGGAGGACATCAAAAAGATCAAGTTCAAGACGGGTTAAATTAATGTATGTAAATGTTGAAAGGACTAGACGGTATATAAAATTCATTTCATCCTCAGGTATACAATGGCATCCTCCTGGTCAAGCTTTTTCGTTCAGCAAGAAGTGGGGCTATTAAAGTCCAATTTACTGTAAAAAATATGTTGAATTTGTACTATGATCTGAGTTGTAAAACAACAAGTACTCAAGCAGGAGGTGAGTAATATTAAGTCATCTTCAAGCAGCCAGGCTGCATCAAAAGTACAACTACTACTAGTACCGCTTCTTCTGCTGCTTTGCCTGGCTTTGTACCTGCTAGTGGCGTAAAGGTGCTTGTCAGGTACTCTTGTCCTTCCAGAGACAGGTTCCTCCGCACGCGGTCCAACAAGGGCTTGCATTCGGCTTCGTCCAATCCCCATCTTCGCGCGAAGTCCTTCACTTTCGTGTTCACCGCTTCTACATCACTGTGTTTGTCCTCCTCGTGCAGCATTCTGAGGTACAGAAAGTCCCGCGCACGTGTGTAGGAAATCGTCACGCATTGACCGGGCACGGAGCCTTCCGGGACTACAAAGAGCACTTCCTGTCCATCTGGCGAAAGGACAGTCATCTGCTGGCCTGGGAAACTGTTTTGCGGCACTTCCACGACCATGGACAACACATCCTCCTGCTTGTTCTGCATCTGCGCTGCAGCGTCGGTAGGCGGCAGGGGAAGGACCGTCCAGATCTACAGGATTAGCAGAAACACGACATCCGACAAGCAATCAGCTTCACTTAACTACAGAGCCATTAAAGCATTCTTACTTTTACTGACGATTAATATCATTGTTCTCATTTTTCACCTTACTGATACCCAGTAGCCGACGCTATTTATCTAAAAGTATAATCAATTATCGACCATGTTGTAGTAAGTTACCCGGACGAGAACGAAACTAGTAGTAGTACCACGATCATCTATTTATCAGGAATCTCTTTCCTAGTACAGCTACTCGCTCAGAATTACATGATCTGCTGGTAATTCTATCCTTTTACATTCACAAGAATTTAGCGAAAAAGTTGAAGTACAACAACCACAAGGTAAAAATTCTCAACATAAGTAACTTTAGCTTTTCATATCTCATCGAGTCATAGAACAATACCTCCGCATTGTTTCCGGGATCCGCGCTTGTCCAGATAGGTAGACAATTGTCTCCAACAAACTCGAAGAGCACGCCTTGTGCCTGCTCCCACACGTACAACTTGTTAGTCCCGGTATGCAGGTAGAAACCCTTTAGCGTCTGCGAATCAATTTGCCACCGATCGCGTGCCTGCGCAAACGCGGACCTCAAGTCGGGAGCCGTCATCTTTTATTTACTTTTTCTTTTAGCATAGAGAAAAGCGTACTACTCACTAGGTCTTGATGATTTCTAGCAGAAAACTTATCATACCAGAAACAGGGTAGATCTAGAGCTGTACTACCTCCAGAATGAAGTTGTCCTCTCCGTCCTCTCAATGTGAATCTATGTCATTCTGAAAAAGGAAATTATTCATCGAATCGAGAATCAAGACAACAAGAGCCTTCACAAGAATAGGTAACTGTTACACGAAAGTCATTATAATGGAACAGCTCCTGCAAAAGCTGCAAAAACTGAAGATTAGAATATCGCGCCTCGATGGAAATAACTGCCATCAGTACTACATCGGGGGAATGGGGACTGGGTTGCGAAAAACTGCCGAAGAAAGGTTTGACATCACTTCGTATGTGTGAAATACCGCATGATGCAGATCCTTCGAAAAGAACGTTTTACCATTTTGAATCAACGAACTTATCGATTACGTTCTGTATCTCACGATCCGGAGCTTACAACTTGGTCACCTACCACCTTAGAAGAGGACTTCTTAGTCTAAAAAAGTAAAAAAAGTTATAGTACTACGTAGTAGATTTGGATTTTTTATTTTCAGCGGGTGAACTTGAGCAATGCAAGGGAGATTGCACCTTGGTTGATTCACGAACGCAGAGATCGTAGGACCTGTATTTTCAGACACGATAGACTGTCCTCTAAAGGTCTAGGGGACCTGCATTTTCAGACACGACTGGCGTGTGGTGCCTGTTTTTGTCGTGCTTCTTCGGTCTCAAATGTCATATCGTGTGAAATAATTATTCTTTCGCGGCTCACACGAGGACAACATCTTGGCTCTACATTTCTATTGGCTCTACATTTTTCCAATGCGCGTCCTTATCATCCGTCGAGCATGGCAGCTCGGCGAAGTCCACTATGCACAGCTACGAGATTTTTGAGATCAGGCATGATTGTTGACTCGTCGGGGATACTTCTAGTTGTACTTCGTTCTACTACCAAGTAGTTGTAAGAAGATGAAGAAGTAGTAGACTAGTAAAAGTATGTATAATTAAAGACAATTGCCGCAGACGCAGCCACGACTACTACCATTAGATCCAGATGAAGAGGCGGAATCTTCGGAATAGAAGACGGATCGAAAGTAAGTATTCGAAAATATTAAACTGAAATAAGCGAGAACTACTGAAAATAATCGAGATACTAATGAGAAGGAAGAGTAGCCCTGTCAAAGCTAAGTGCCTCCCTTATTTCAGTCAGTAACTCGGTTAATATTTTCAGTTTCCGAGTACTCATGGAACGCGTTGAAGAAAGAGAAGTGGGGATCGAGTAAAAAAATCCATGGAAGGAAACCTCTGGATGGCGCTCTCGACGTGCAGGAAAACATGGACAAACAGATCGATATATTATAATACTTTTATACTTATAAAAAATGAGTCGACATAATGATTGATGAAACACGACAATCTCATGGTGGATAATGAAAGAAGTGCACTTCTTTGGAGGTGTACAGAAACAGAACAAATCTGCGATGAACAGTAAAAGCTGCTCTGTTGATGGCTGGTGCCCTTTGTAATTTATATCGGATTTTTTTGTTGTGGTGCGCCAACGTCGAGTTTTGTTTTAACGCAGCGGATAGAGCAATCGGCATCATACAACAATAGAATGGAGGCGTTGTGTCGTCAGTGTACAACAAAATATCAAACTTATCATGGGTGTGTACAACAAAACAGCATCACAATCGATGGGAACATCAAACAGAAAGGACTGGTGTGGGGACGGGGTAAATGCGAATCGTTTTCATCAGGTTTCTTTCTATCATACAACACCACTCGCAGATCATAGTGTCAGTCCTTCGCCTCGTCTGGGTGAGAGAAAACTGTGTGCCTGGAACCTTAAACTTCAACCTTTGTATGCGTCTTTGATTCTTTCGGAGGTACTCGAGAGTGAAAGAAGAGGTCAAGAACCCAAAAGCAATTTCGGGTTGCTTGCGGTGCGATGTCAGCTCCTCTGTTGTACTTCCTGCTCCTTCGATCGGTATAAAAACTATTACTTCTTACTATAAAAATGTTGTCAGTCGTTGTCTCGTTGTGTGCTTATGAAGACGAAGATGTAGTAATATTACTTAGGTCTTACTAGTGTCGTCGCAGACCATCGTCACCTGCAGCAGTAGTTCTTTTTACTCGTCGTACATTTTACAACACCTTGTAATTCCTTGAGGGGACGAGAGATAAGCATCATGATGGAGCGGGTGAATGTTGCGCTGCATCACGCGACGAGGTCGTTGTAAGCCCGACAAGTGTACTACAAGGATTTACAGCAGTTTCGAGCATCTTCATCGGGGGGTTTGTTAACTCCTTATCCAATCCGCAGTTCACGTTGTGGCAGGCGCGATGATTGTTCATGTTCACAACATCTATTTAAATTAGTACGGGTTGTATCTGGTAGTTGTGGCTGGAGCGGCTGCCTGCTGCTGATAGTACTGAGGTTGCGCTGCTGAGTAACTCTCACCGAATCCAGCTCCATAGTTCGGTTCTTGCTGCACCTGCTGCACCTGTTGCACTTGCTGGACTTGCTGCGTCTGCGCCACATGATGCACTTGCTGCGTCTGTTGAGGACTCTGCTGGTGCTGCATCATTTGCTGGGGCGGTTGTTGAGCCATCTGCTGTTGCTGCTGTTGCACAGCCTGCTGTTGGGCGGCTGCCTGTTGTTGGGCCGCTGCCTGCTGTTGGGCGGCTGCCTGTTGTTGGGCGGCTGCCTGTTGTTGGGCCGCTGCCTGCTGTTGGGCCGCTGCCTGCTGTTGAGCCGCTACTACCTGCTGCTGATACGGGTCGTACGCTGGTGCCGCACTAGCCACCGCAGCATACTGTGTAAAAGGAGGGTTGACACTGATTTTATCATTCGAGTTGCGAACTGTGAAAAATCTTGATCTCCTAGTGCATCCACGATCTAATCTAACAATATTAGTTTAAGTTCTAGTACTAGTAATGCTATCTGTATCTCCCCTCCAAGAATTATACCTGTGCCGTTGCAGGTGCTGGTTGCGCTTGTTGTGGTTGTTGCGTGGCAACGTACTGAGTTGCAGCGTATGGATCTGCTGCAGCGGGCGCCACTGCTGCTGCGGTTGGGGCTGCCTGATACTGGTACTGCACAACTGGTTGCGCCGCAACATATGCCGCATTTGGGTCATAGTAAACTACCTGTGCTGCTGGGTATCCACCAGCAACCGCATACACATTCGGATCATACTGTAAAAATTTCGATCGAAAAAAAATTGATACGATGAAGAAAGTCAAAATTAATAGTCTTAGTCAGTGTTGGCCTAGGTAGTTAGTTAGTTACTATAGGAAGCCTGGCGGCGCTCCAACATCATGCAGCCCGAGAGCCGTACGCGGGGCCCAATTAGTCCCCGGGTATCAGTTTGGTCGCGGTATGTCACGCCGTAACACAAGCAAGCGCGAGGCAGAGGCGAACTCGCCACAAGCAGCCGCACTCGCAGTCAATGGTGACCAAAAGGGCGGGGCGCGGCATCCGGGCCAAGGCGGCGAACTACGTCTCACTCAAAGGGCCGGCTTAGATTTGCAGCGCCAATGCCTCTGCGGTAGAGTCGGTGGGACTCGCAAAGGCAGTCGCGTGACTCCAACTCCATGGCGAAGGAGCGCTCCTCAGCCAAAGAATGTCCCTCAAAAGAAGGGGAGCTCACGCCCTCGCCACAGAGGTGCAACTTGGGCAAGGTTTCCCATCTTTATCTCAGCCCTGTCGCTCTATCAGAACAATACATAGCGACGCCCCATTCAACAGGGGGAAAGCGTGGGCCTATCTTACTGTCTCGCGCCACGCAGAGGCTCATGCTGTTACTTGGCAGCGCTCTGCCCCCCGTAGCGCCCACTTATAAAGAAAGCAAGCCTTGAAGTGTTTACGGCCTCAGTTATATTATTCTCTCAAGCACTTCGAGAAGGTTCGGCGCGCAGGCTCACGCCAGTGCTTGCCATCTCCGAGGAGATTGCCCTCTTGGTCCTCCGGCTCTTCCTCGCCAGGGTCTTTTGGGTGGGTCCGTTGTAGCTTTTTGGGTTTCTGCGTCTTACTCGCTTTCTCGCTAGCAGCCGGCGCAGTCAGCTTGCGGCTGCTTCGTCAGGGACCACTGCACACCTCAGGAACGGCCTCCGCCGGCAGCTCCATGCCTGTAGTGTCGACAAAGTCGACGACATTGGCGCGGCATGGACACCGACGGCGAGGAGACGCGTCGCGCGTGTCTCCTATGGCTATCGTTTTAACCAACAAAAGGAAACCCCTCTGCGATAAGTGTCCGACCCCAACCGCCTCCAGGCTGATAAGATTCCCCCGAATGTCTCACGCAGACGCGACAGCGAAAGACAGCCCACCGCGGTACGTAGTCGCACTGCACTGGCGCCGCACGGCTTTCAGGCGTTGCTGTTCGCTCACCCCTCCCTTCCCAGGTAATCGCGTGGCTCATTTTGTGAACGTGGCGCCCAGTCGTTAACCCCCAGCGTGCCCACGCAGGCCACTCTACTGCCATCAGGGTCAAACCCGCCCCAGCCGGCCACGGCGCGAGGGTGCGAACGCCGTCGGGATTTGGTGGAAGAATACCGCGAGGGCCCAACTCTTGAGGCGCCAAACTTATATCATTGGACGCGAAAAAGCCACGCCCCCCGGGGTCTTTCCCTTGATTTCGTTCCAGAATTCGGGGGCGTTGACTGCTGTGCACGACTTCGCTACTCGCTGGGCCTCTTTTGGAGGCAGCCGCTTCAGGTGGGTAGCTGCTTCCATTTGCTTCCAAGATACGACCGGCCCCCTGCGCTCGTTATCGCTGAGCGAGCACAAGGCAAGTCGCTGCGGTTGTAAGGCTACGCAGCATTTCCGCGCCACGTTCTTGCGAAAAGGGACCTGAGTCCTTCGAGATGAGCGGAACCAGCTCCGCTCGAGCGTCAGAAGCTGACACGCAGGCGCTGAAAATGATGGGCCTAGTTTGAAACTATAGCAGTTGGCTTTGTTGAGTTTCGCCGGCTGCAAGTGTCCCCCATGTCGGCCGTAGTATAATGGGACGTCACTGAAGTGCACAGCTCTCGGCGTATCTGCGTGGCAGCGGTCGAGTTGCTTGCTAGTCTAGGTACTCGAGCTCGATTATCACTTAAGGAGCTTTGAGTTTAAGTTTTTTAATACTACTAGAGGATGGAAGATGATCTCGATTAAGGTTAAACGCCACCTTTGGTGCTGCCTGCTTAACAGGTGATCATAACATTAAAGTTAAACACCTGTGGCGCTGCCTGCATGACAGGTTGCGGTGGGGGATGTACTACGAGATGATGCTGACCTCTAGCCTGGAAATGCCTGTTCATTGCACGAAGCAAGAAGTCTTGTCTTTTTATTGCGTCCATAGGTCCGTGAGCGTTTGACTCAGCAGTACGCACTTCCAATTGTCGACCTCGGAATTGGATTCGCTGTCCAGGCTGTTGTGAATGAAATAGATGTGGATGAAGAAGTACAACTCCTGTGTTGTCCGTGATATACAAAATAGATAAAAATTCCTCAACGTGGTCCTGGACATAATGCTCTTCGTCTTCGTCACTTAGCCTCTCTACTTATAGTCATAGAACGGGCTATTGTATAAACACAATACCTCTCTCCAGAGTCGGATAGACGCTTCTCTATTTGCGTAGTGTACGAAGCACGTCACCTTCGCATTCTTTCCTTTTCCTTTCCAGTCCTGTGCCTTATCGACTAACAGCACCAGACCTGTGAGAAGAAATACATTTAGTAGTAGTGTCATTGCAAGATGAATAAAGAATCCATGCATGGGTGAAAGAATGAAACAAGTGTGCCTGTGGATGCTGTGAAAACTCAATCACAAGTACTCTAATATTAAAATACCGCCCTCAAAAATCTATCAAGAAAATAGTAGAAGAACCCCGGTAACGACGACCTTTTCTAACAGTAGTAAAAATAATGAATAAAAATAGTATCATAAACACAAACTACTATAGTATGATAATATAGTAACTCTATGATCTACTGTACATGATAGTATCATAAAATACCCCATTGTGAGAAGAAGTTTCCTAGTTCTCCTTCCTCCATCCAAGTCTCCACATTTCTGATGTACACTTTCGTTGGCTCGTCGCTCTTCAAGTGGGGATACAGGTCTTCCTCTTTTTTGCCCTCTGTTCGAATCTCCGTCTCCGATTGGTACCGGATATTCAGCGGAATATGGTGGCCACGGGATTAGAGAGGTGACGAAATGTTAAAAAAAAGAGAAAAAGGAGATAGAGAGGTGAGGACGAGGTGTTAACACGAAGAGAAAAAGGGGTTATATTAAGCGCCAAAAAGGCACCAACATGATCCAAGAAGAAGTACTTAGCAGCCAATCATAAGGGAATTCTGTTCCATGATTTACTGCTGCGTCTACCTCCGCAGCATGTCGGTAAGTCACAAAAGCAAAAATGCCACCTCCTTTCCGCACCAGGGACAGCTCTGCTGGGTTGCCATACTTCCCAAAATGCTGCCATAACTGCGTTGAAGTTGATGATTTTTGGGTGAAGTATATGGTAGGCGAAATAATTATTTGAAGAAGCAATTGTGAAGTTTTGCGTTGAAATCTGCAGGGGTCATGGTGCATCACTTGTAGTGTAACTAATAATAGTCTTAGTAATTGTAATTCATCTCAAAGAATATGTTACTATCATGGTGTATTCATGATGCTGGGGTATAATCTGAAAAGAATGTGTATGTATTGAACTCAAACTAGTCGAGGACGGGCTTGATGATCATACATATGAATGTGGTGTTACTTGAACTACATCACTGGTGACAAAAGGGTGGAGGAGGTAGCCTAGCAAAAAAGTGTAGAAGATACTGTAAAACTAAAAAGTATTGTACCATAGGTTCGTCCACCCACTGCGGGAGATGGCCGATGAACAGTTTTAGCCTCCTATGCACGTAAGGCGTATCATCTTCTATCGTTCTCCCTTTCCCGACTGAGAGATCGAGATGAGTGGTTGATGTAACAAGTCTACAACGTTGACGAAGGTAAGATGGTAATTATGTTATGTGCTGTTATGGTCATTCGTGACCACCGTAGGTTTTTTTTTTGCGTTACTTAGGACTATAAATATGCCACCGCCCTTTCAAACAATAATTAATTAACTCGTTCAACTAATTTTTCATACAAATTACATACTGGGGGCGCATAAGGCCGTACAATCGGCCACAAATCTTAAGCTTCTATTTTTTTCCATACTAGGACTATATGCTACCGCCCTTTTAATCAATTATACAAATCTAGCAAGCTGCAAAAGATAAATAAGTTACTTACTGGGGACGCATAAGGCCGTACATTCGGCCACGAGTCTACATCTATCAGAAGAGCCGGACATTCGACCCTTATAGAACAACTAAGGCGCAACCCGTAGGGTTACTCACTGTCATCTATAATCTCGTGCAAGTAGTGGCACAGGGTCCCATTCTACCTAGTACTATTTGGTAGTCCAAGAGACTGCCTATCTATCTACGACAAGTTGTACAAGGATCGTGTTATATTATAATAGTACGGCCTTTTTTTCCGCCTTTGTAAGGAGCTGCTGCCGGCCCTGACGCTGGTGTTGATGCGGTTGAGCTATCCACAGCTGGTTTTGCCACTTCTTCCTCTACATGGATTAGAAGACCAGAGATCCCACTATTCTTCACGTACTTAGCTTTAGCTTTAAAGTTTGATATGTTGCATGAAGAGACGATACACCTGCTAAGAATAGAAGAGGGAATTCTACTTGATATAATGTTTTTTTTGTAAAAAACCTCATAATACGTGATTAGTTGGCTCCTCCTCGACTACAGCATCGCCTTCTTGGATCTCTGCCCCTTCATCGCCCATATTGCCCAAATCTTCTGCCAATTGCTCGACGCCATTTGCTGTACTCTTAGATGTCGTAGTTGTATTTCTATTAGGATCATCTGTGCTAGTCGAGTGAATCCCTCACGATCTCTTTGATTTCTGCCGGAATCTATCATGTTGATGAACCGAGGAAGGCCAAAGACTCAATATTTCTCGAAATAAATGGAACTCGCGGAGCCTAGGAGTTCAACTTATAATCTTAAGAACTATTGGTGGACCAGGCTGTGCAGAAGTTGACTCAGGCAGTGCGGCGGCCGCCTCCTCAACCACTGCTGCTGGCGCCTCTCCTTCCATTCCTTTGCTCTCTGGGAGGACATCTTGCGGCTTAGCATCGTCAGAGGACGGACCCTCTACAACCACTGCAGGAGTGTCCTCGACAACATCTGCCATTCTTCTTGATAAAACCTCTTCAGGTGGGTCAATGTTATAATTAGATGAAACTAGAACCAGAAGAAATATGATTGAAATTTCCTAGTTCTATTATGATCTATCATGAGACTGGGAAAAGTTTCATGTACCTAAGAGCAGCTACGAAAAAACTAAAGCTATGCTGTACTAGAGGTAATATAAACTACCTGACTAGAGGACTAGAAGTACGGAAGGTGATATGATCAGAGCGAAAAAATACTGCTGTATGACTCATCAAAGAGTTTGGTATAAATCCATCCTAGCAGTTACATATTTATAGTGTATCTGTAATACGCCTTTGAAGCATCATGGTCGGACATCAAAACTACTTGAGCGACTTACAGTATGAGATGAACTCTTTCTTGCAGACACACGGATCGTTGTAAAAGATGAAATCGTAATCTATCGATACTTTTTGTTTTTCATTGAAAGCTCATTGTCTCAAGAACTTGTTGAAGTCCTTCTTTATTGGTCCACGACAATTGTTATTGATGTCGTGTGACGCACTAGTATCACCCAACAAGGCAGTCAATCTCATGTAATCGACTAAGAACAAGACCAAAAGATTTGTACCTCCACTACAACACATCATTTGTTCAAGAGAAGAACCACCTCGTCGTCACCAATTATATCATCATAATATTTTGGCATTTTCTCAGTATCAAGAACGTCATGATAGGTTCTGGGTAACATCAGCATGACAAGACTATTTTTTAACTATCTCCTAATCAAAACTTCTTTAGCTCGTCGTGTTCGTGTCTGTGATTTCATTCCACAACGGTGTATTTAGTTGCAGACAGCAGCTTTTTCGTTCATGACTTGATGTGTCGTCTAGAAGAAGAACATTCACGGCAGTCTTCGGAGATTCATTGACAATTCGGGTGACCAAAATTCAACAGTGTTCCGCGGCTGAGTTCCCTCCAGGAGGAGTGAACATAAAGGAATTGCAACATAATATTGTAGAGATGAAACCTGGGCATCCATTGATCCAATTTTGCAATATGAACTCTTAGGAAGATGTGCCAATGTTGGTCTTGGGGGAAAGCCAACTTATTCACTGTGGATCTCAAAATTGCACGAGAAATGCCATGACAAGCCTAAACATTGAGATCATTGATATTCTTGTGATAATATTGAGCTATGAAGCATTAGCGAAATTGACAACCCTCCACTAAAGAGACTGTAATGAATAAAAAGGCGTAATAAATGGACTGGAAGGTTTATTAGAACTAAGAAGATGCAAAAACCATCGAACAATGAGCGTCCGCCCTGACGACCTCTAACTAAAACGGTTTGATGTGGAGGTTAAGCCGTCTCTGCTTCTGCAACTTAGGGTAAAATAAGCCGCAGCTGTTCTTCTTCTTCGAATCAACATCAAAAATATGGAAGAGATAAACTTAGACGTTGTACTGCATCCATTTGTTAAGCATCACTACAACAGAATCGAAACTGATCAAGGAAGATAAGCGATGTATGAAATGCTAATGCTGTGTGCAAAAGTAAAAAATCAACGCGCAGTGCTGCATCAAAACATTCATCCGCAAAACATTCAGTTAAAGGCAAGAGTTAGGGTTTCAGGAAAACGAGTACTTACCTCAAGGTTCAAGGTTGAGGGTCCGCTGTCTCGCGGCCAGGCCGCGTTGGTTGGCAGGGACGACTTACCTCCTGTCTAGATTATCTCACATCAGAGTACCGCTTGTGGTCTCATAACAGAGTACCACAGCACTACAATCGTCAACTGGACCTTCTGGTGCGCAACTTTGCTTCAGCCTAAGTGCCGCTTATGCGAAGCCAGTAGAGGTAGTTCCACCCATGAAAGTACCTCCATTACGCAATCAGGAGAAACATAGAAGCAGTGTTGTGAATGTGAAACGCTTTTCGTGCGCCTCTGCTCTTGTCCTTCTCCTTCAGGGAGTAGTGCCAGCATTGAATATTAAGGGTAGAAGAGGGAGTTGAAGCGTGTAAGACACCCACAAGTAGGCTCCGACGGGCAGGACGTAATGCCATGCCGTATGATAAACCAGGAACCCATGGAAAAGATCCTCAACGCGCGGTCGTGTGGTATCCGAGTGTGCCTGTCGGGAATCGTCAAACGCTCCTGGCATCGAGACGCTCTTCTGAAGGGCCCCGTCTGTCGCTGCATGTTGTGCGGGTGATCCTGCTCCTCGACAGACAACTGGACGAACGAGGTACTTCGACGCAAGAGCGCGACTCCAATCCTGGATACTAGAACTAGATGAAGTAGTTGGAGACCTACTAATGGTTCTGGTTGACGCTATAGAAGTCGTAGTACCACTCGTATTTTCCTTCGTAACTACATTTTTCATATGGACGAGGTGCTCTCCTTTTTTTCCTCGCGATGTTGAAGATCTTTCTCTATCATTTGCGTTGAGGAACAGCATGTCTTCTTTCGCTACGCGGCCTAGCAAAACCCCGATGCCGAAAGCTAGAAGGCGCAAGGAAAAAGCTGGGTGCTCTTCCCCTCGCATGCCATTTGTACAGTCTGGCTCTACCCGTTCCGCCGCGCCATCCATGCTGTGAGGCTGATTATACGTTGTTTGAAGGGATCAGCCTGGAAATAGAGGTGAAAACTAACCGGTTGTTTTACTTTAGTGCTTTAAGCGTAGCTGAGGCTGATTATATGGAGTTTTCGTTTGTGGTTAGGTTAGCGTTATGCTAGGTTATCGTTGTGGTCCTAATACATCATAGTCTTCATAGTATTCATCATAGTAGTATTCATCATAGTAGTATTCATCATAGTAGTATTCATCATAGTAGTATTCATCATAGAAATTCAGTATCATTTCGGATGACAACTTAGTTTTTGACATCAATATTAACGATCTACAGGAACTGGATGGAGCGACACTAAGTTGTACTTAAGTACTTAGGTATCAATGTGATCACTCTACTTAGACAAGTGGATCAAATGAATATCCAATAATACTGTGTGAGCGTCTTTGCCAACGAAGCCTCCTAGCGTTGGTGCGCCACACGGCCCACCCGCCGTATACTCTTCAGTGTCAAAACTAAACCCTCGGCGCATCTTCTGCACATTATCGTCCATACTAGCGGAGGCCGCGCCTGACATAGACAGCTGCCCAACTGGTTCCAGCTTTCTCATACCATCCAAATAAGCAGGTTGTAGCTGCTGTTGCTGGATCATGCAGCTACTGGGTGGCTCTTCCACAACGGCAAATGTTGATGTAGTTGACGTTGTGGAAGAAAGAACTGTATGCGGATTCATCAACATATAATTGTGCATGCTCTTTTTATCTCGGGAAGGATCAGGTTTGATACTACTTCCCTCGTGTTGGCTTACGAATGGGTTGACCAGTCCACGACTTTCCTCGCTCTCCGAAACCACTTCCGTTTCACTTGTGACATTCGGAGCTTCGGCATCGCCGTCCTCTCGAAATATGAACGAACAAGAAGCTTGGGAAAATCGCGGTTAGGTAATTATGCTTAATATGCATGGTGAGGATAATTCTAGCAACCAGAACCATAATGCAGCTGTAGCTTTCTTCTAAGAGTCGGACCATGGCTCGATGACAAATTTGTCCACAGACGAAGCAAACCGCTGCAAGGAGTAACGCGCACGCGAGAATGCCCATCTGCACCGCATCTTGAGGGACTGTCCACGCCTTTCGAACCTGCATGCAGAACAAGGTCGACGCGGACAGCTGATCCAATCGCGCGACCCACCAGACGAGACCTGTTTTTCATCATGAACGATGATCATTTGGTCTAGTTATAATCTATCTCTACTCTTTGACGATTGAGTCAACTTTCGCATGTGCTTGCGTGTTCTGATCCCGACAGATAGTACATATACATAGAAACCACATCAACTTGTCGTGTAAAAATCAGAAAGCAACAAGATCCAAGCAATATGCGGTACCAAAACAATGAACATCGGACGCGTAGCTGAGGACACCCTGGAGCATCAGCGCAAAAGCTTCCCAAGGCCACACCGGTGCATACGCTTCACCGCACGCTGCTTGCAACGCCGCACAGCGATCCAATATGAAAGCAAGGATATAAGATTGGATGTCATCAAAAATGTCTCCTCTCAAGGAAGTAGAGATCATCAAGACAGTTCATCGTCAACATGATTGACAACGACCGTCTCAACAACGTCAACATCCCTAGTGTTTCTTTCCTGCTGATCTGTAGTAGTCAATGAATCTAATTTAGAATTAGAACGCAGTCGAGCATCCATAAAGTAGACAACCAGTCCAATCGTCGTGTAGGTGAAGGATGAGGACGCGTACCACCAGGTTTTTCGGGCCCTCGGTCTCCATCTGAGCGTCATGTCGCGAAGCAGGACATGGTCGATCCATTCCGACATGTGCAGATAGAGGTAACCGTCTGCGCGATGTCTGGCATCCGTATCATCTTCTGATGTGTCGGTGGACGAAGAATGTCGTGTAGTGTGGTCCACGACACTCCTAGAAGAACCTGGGGTCACCTGTTGGAATTGAAGATGGTCGACCACGCTCATTGTTATTTGTTTGCTGTTGTGGTGCGAAGACGAATTATTGTCGTGACAGCAGGATGTCATCACGCTAGTTTCCGGAGCAGCCATTCATTGTGTTATGGTTATCTGATTCTATCAATATCTGCATTTCTACACGGGCGAGAGCAAAATTTATTTGCTCCAGTTGAAAAAATACAAACGTCGCCCATTATAGCGTCTAGAGCATCATGAACACTTTTTCTTTTACCGTCACATTAATGCCTAATGGGGGATAACAAATTGGTCATAGAAAACCAAAAGACGGGACGGGCGGGTCAACAACATCAACATGCCATGTAACTCATACTCATTGTTGACTGATTAAAAGATTGTTCATCATGTGCACCAAAAAATGCCTGTAAAGGAATGAGAATCATGTTGCAAGCATCGATCCGTCATGTCTTGGAGTTGGACCCAGAATCAAATACAGGAAAATAGGGCGCAGAGTTCCGATTCATGTTTACGTTTCATCCAACTCCCTCTGACCCTCATTCTCAATATCACATCGCTGCCCTCAAATCTCGGTCTCACACAGAGTTCACTAGCCTCATACAGAAGTTCTTCATGCGCTTGAACTTGATGAAGAATCAACGCTCAAAAATATCATAGAACCGCCACGCGTTCAGACGCTGACGCATGCGATAGAAAAAAAAACACCACGAGGTTGCGGGGACGTATTGGTTCTAAACGACCTTGTAGTTGATGATTCTCAAGCTCAACATTACAATACAATACAATACAATTTATCTCGCTTTTTTTTTTTTGTAGTGCGAGCACACAAGGGCGCCATAGATGATGCACACGATGGATCTCACGCAAAGAGTGGAGTGGAGAAGCGGCACGGTTACGTCTGTTGTGAAAAGTTACAACTTAACACGAACTAGCCCTAAGCGAGAGATTTAGACAACGAACCCCAACTATCACCGTTCAAACGCGTTTTCAAAGGAAGGGGATTGCGACTCGCTTGTACGATGATCTATTGCCTCTTCAAGAACTCAAGAGAACGGATAAAACATGCACTTGGACGTGAGTTTTAGTAGAAAAAGGGAAGTTTACTTACAAATTATGAAGCTGGGTGCGCATCGAGCCTAGAATCTACAGACGAGGTATACGAAATTACATTTAGATACCTTCTGCCCCTAGAATCTAGATGCCTCCTCCCCTCATAATTAGGCGAAACACTTTAGGTACAACTTAGCTCCTCTTCACCCGCCACCACCTCCCCCGTTATTATATGGGGTTATGTTGACTTCGCAATAGATTTTCCCCTCCGAGTCGTCTGCTTTGCATACGCAATTCAGAGACAATACGCCCTTGCTGTAGATGAACAGCCTTGCACCCTGAGCTTTCTCCAGTGCGCGTGGGAGGAAAGTGCAAACATTCATCATCGAGAATTCTACACCTCGCTCTGTGTCGAGTTTGCTCGCAGGGACCGGTTGCACTGCGTTTGAAGTTGTCGCAATGCCTCCATCATGACGACCGGCATGATTGGTTGTCGAGGAAGGAATCGCAGACGTTGTAGCTAATGACATCGCACGCGTATTAGTTGTTTTTCCCGATACTTGGTGCGCAACTGCAGGTGGCTTTGCGAAAACGTCAAAAACATGCCTGCTTTAGAGGATATCCGTTTCTGTCTCTTCACGACCGTAACTTATGGATCTGTCGCTTCACCACCGTAACTTATGGAAGATGCTTCTCTATTTTCCCCTGGCGAGTCACATAATCATGCCATTTCTCGCCCTTTCAAAAAAAACGTCGCGTTACTCAAAAAACGAAAAATCAAATTGAAATTCTACAAATCATACTGAACAACTTACGTGTTTCATCTGAACTCTTCTCCTGACGAAACATTAGTCCATAATCAGACAGATGTGCGCGGACGAAGCTTCGCTCACCTCTGACGGATTCTGTTGATATCTCCAGCGCGTTGCCCTCCGCTGTCCGCCGAATCGCGATTATTCTACCAGTACTCTGAAACATGCTATTCGATACGCCTCCTCCGCCGCCTCCGCCGTAATCGCCGCCACCTCGTTTTTACTTAGAGTTTCATACTGGTGAACAAGTTGTAGGCAATTGGAAAACTAGATCCAACATTTGTTCTCGTCCGGTGACAGATCATACCAGTTCTAATATGCCTAGTTGTCCTAAATAAAGGAAGAGTATAGTAAGAAACTAACATTAACTACATACGATTTATTAGTGGTGATTAAGTAACGAGTGAATGTGAACCCTCCTTACTGCCGCCATACCCTGTGTCAAAGAGTCACAAGCGAAAGCTTGCCAAAGGTAATCCACTTTTTCACGTCCCTGCATGGCAAATTCTTCCCGTGCATCTGTATTACGCAAGCGGTTCATCAGTTCACCAATTTGGTGGTAAATTTGTATGTTCTCCTCGGATAATGGTATTAGACGAGTCGGATGATAGTACTTCACGTCCACAACTGGTACTAGTTGTAGTACAACTTTGCCGAGAATGCGTGTTCGAAAATTTTTCTCGGTCATTATTTGCTTTCATCATCTCAGTATGAAAATAGAGACCACTCACTAGTTTTAACTAGCCGATGCTGATTATCTGTAATTATCATGTGCGTACTACTGATTCCAAATCATTGACTCAGAATGTAGATCTGCTTCTCATTTTCCAAATTTTATGAATTTTGACTTATTGAACGCCTCCACCCATGCCTCTCCATCTCCTGCTTGGTAAAAATATCTATATTTTATAAGTATAAAATGTACTATGTATTAGAGTAGTTCCATGAAAAGACCCAATGATTCTGACCTTGAAGAGAAACTTGAACAGGAAGGTGAAACAGAAATAAGGCAGCATAATGCTAGTGACCGCAACCGACAAGTGGACCCGCCGCCGTCGATAGCGAGAAAAAGCTCGAGCCTCTGTGCTTCGGGATCTAGACGAGCCCTCAACGCTGCGGATCCGCGCCAAATGGACAACGAGTTGAGAAGACAGTCCAAATCGAGAAGAATTCGGTGAACCACTTGACCGTCGGGATCTACACAGTTGGCGCTGTCCGTAATTCATCTTTCAAGTGCATCCTTCAAAAGCACTATGGGAGAGTATTATTCCCTTAGAAGGTGGATACTCCTCCATACGTTTCAAGGATGCGTCCAAAGATGTATAAGGTACAGCCTTAACACAGGAGTAAACTGAGTTCTCTGCAGCTCCAGAGTTGTTCTCTCCCTGCTCCTCTCCAGCTGCTCCGGCTTCGGCTTGATTTAATATTCCAGGCCCTCCTCCACCTGAGCCATCTTCGGCAGGCACTCCTGCGGGTTCTCCTGCCCCACCATCCTCACCACCTGCTCCATTGCTTGTCGACGACGTCGAGGTAGATTCCCGAAACTCGTAACGTGAAAAAATCTCACGCCTGAACCACATAACCGCTCTCACGTCTTTCGCAGGATTCAGAGCCGTAAACTGCAAAGTGTCCGCTTTCGCCTCCAGAAGCACTCGCTGCGTCTTACCCAACTTCAGTGTGGGCAAGACACTAGTGAGAATGCTCACCGACACCAACTCACACTCCATTTTGATGGTCCTCCTCTTTCCTACCTCCTGCTTCTAGTACAACAAGGTAAAAACAAGTAGTACAAGGTAAAACAAGCAGGTATGTACTTAGTATGAGGAAGCGTGACCATGAATCAATTCTCGACAATCTGATTCAGAACGATGATTAGTACCACAGGAAAACCATCAATAGAGTCAACATGTAACATGTGCTGATGGGGTCCTCTGCGAGTAACAACTTCTACTTCCCGTTGAGAAACCATACTCTAAAACAGCATACTAGCTCTCCGACTTGCTCCAGAGAGCTCCATTCTTCAAAAAAAGCACAAAGAGGAAACTGCAAAATTTGAACAACGAAAATATATTAATGGGGGAAAGGGCAACAGTACTAGCAGGAACAGCAGATTCATGATCTTATCTATTAGCACTAGACTCACAACCATCCTTTCTTGTTCACGCTCAGTTACACACAGCAGCTGTTTCTTCAAACCGAAAAAGTCGTCTATACAACGCGAAGGAACCTCTTTGATTTATTTCTTGTCATCTGTAAGTATAAATGTATTCTCATCTATCGCAAATGAAGATGCTAGGATGGAAAAATGAAGAGTGAAGACCGACGCAAGCTATTTTCTAAGAACATGAACAAGTCCCCAAAAAATGAAAATTCAGCGTTGCAACAGGAGCAAGTTTGATCTTATGTTTGATGTTTGTGTTTGAATTGTTTATGTTTGAACCTGGAGGTTCTTCTAGAAGTTTTGTTTACAACAATGGTGAGAGGCTGAAAATTCTAGAGCAAATCTTCAGACCAATCATTCTGTCTGATTTCGTCACCTTCATCTTGTTCAAAAATGATACTTCCACACTTCCTTGCTCGGGAGAGCACCGTTTGGGTAAGGTCGTCGGGGGTGTATAGTTTCGAATTATTTGACGCGGAAGTCTCTTTTTTAACTAGAAGTAGGTTCGTATCATCTGAGTCACGACTTCCAGTTGTAGAACAACTTCGACTTGTTCCATCCTGTCGAAGTAGTTGCTTGTTCACCTCAATGCCAGCAGTGCCCATTACGGCGACAAAGCGCACCTCACCGCCTCGCGCTGGGTCTCCATCGCCTACAACGTATACGTCACACCAAAGACCACACGCTGCGCACATGCGTTCCAAAAAACGTAACCGCGCGACTGCCGCGAAGCTCACTGAGACGAAAAGAGCATGAGCAGGAGTGTGACACCTTTCCGTTTCCCCAATATTATCACTATTTTTAGACCCTTGTTGTTCTAATTTGAGTTTCTGACCTCGCCCACTTACAACGTTATGAGCATCTTCATGGACGAACGATTCTTCCTCCTCTACTCCGTCTGCTTGTTCTGTCGGCGCCCTGTCAGGACGAAGACCGTTGGAGAGGTCCCGACTTGGACTACTTCGTGCCTTTACCTCCTCTAAATGTACTACTTGTCCATCGCTATTTCTAATGCCTGTAGGTGTTGACGCCAGTGAGCCGCCACTTCCATCGCTTGCCAAGTGCGTACTGCATTCGCTTTTTGTCGGACTTGAAGTAGCGGCCGTACCCAGTGAGGTACAGGAAACGTTCTCATTGATATCTCTTCCGACGAGTAGTTTCGCACACTCTAGAAACATCGCTTCCCGATCAGCTTCTGAATCGAGTGCGTCGAGAGTACCCTTGTCCAGTACTAGAAAACCACCGCCATCTTCTGCCTCCTGCGAGTGCCCTCCACCTTCTGGCTTCTCCTGCGACTTGCTTGACATACTCTTAAAGACTTCACTACTTTTGCTCCTCCTGCGAGTTGCTTGTTCGAAAGACTTTACTATTCTGCGAACCGCTTCGCAAGTAGTCAGCCGTCTACAATCGCAGACGTCGCAAGAAATCTTCGCAGCTGCTGTACCATAGTGGAGGTGGTCCTTCTTCTCCTGCAGTAGTTGTAATGGTTCTTCCCCTTCTTTGACATCCCCATCGCAAAATAGGCCAAGGCGGCTCCTCAACAAATTCACCATATGCTCGGAGACATCGAGCAATGCCACATGAGAAATTTGTGATGGATACTCTTGTGCGATCTCTAGGCTCATAGCACTACTGCCGCATCCTACATCGAAAATCGCTACGTGACGACCTTGCTCCCGGTCAGTGGAGGTTTTGGGTCCTCTTCCTGCCCCATGTTGGCTCGAAAAGAGGTACTCACGGAAGTAGGGTGCGAGGAGAGTTCGCAGGGACGTCCACGGCAAGTGCCATTCGAAATTCTCTGTTTTGTGGGGTCCCTCAACGTACTGCTTGTCCCAAGCTGCGGCGTAGTAACCCGCACTTCGATCCTCGAGAGATGTTGTCATTTCATATGTTGCAAGTGTCCAGATAATTCGCAGTTGAATAGAAATTCAAATTTCAACTCATTTTTACCAGTGGAGAGATGGTTTTTGAAACGACTAATCTGCCCAGGCACGAGATCGAAAAGGCCTGTACCTTTGGTGGCTAGTAAATAGGTCGTCAGACAAACTAAGTACTTAGATGGGGTGAAGATCAACTGCTTCGTGAACCTTGACTTTGAACCAGAACCGTACAGTTTCTCATGGTGAAGATCGACCTACCGAGAAACAGATCCCATCAAGGAAATTCTACTATCACCTAAGATGAAGTAGATCACGGTCGTGTAGCAAGATCTCTAAGTTGCGCCTGTTGCAAACGAAAGAGCTCAGCACTCGTGTATCACACACAGGAAAGATCTACTTGATCTCGGCGGCGAATGCGCATCATCTTCTTCTTCCTAACAAGAGGATTTAGGACTAAGTATATTTATATGTAGAAGAAGTGCTCCAGAGAAGTCCTTGATATTGCATGATATTCATACTTCACATTCTTGTTCTTGTTGAATAGTGTTCTTGTTCTTCAGGATCAGGGCTCGTTTCTTCAAGAGCCGCCGTTTGCAAAAGCAGCAATCGTTTCGTTTCGTGCACACCAGGCGACCACACTGATGCGCGTGAATTGTTCCTCTGAACGCCGATCCAAGTCCCTGCTTCTAATCGCTCGCCCCTCCGAGTCCATGCCTACTCCCGGTCCAGTCTCCTCAGCGGCATCACCAACGCCATGATCTGAAGACTGTGTTGAACAAGAATCCCCAGAAGTATTACTAGAAGTACGATTCTCTGCCTCTGAGTTACAGTTCGTATCCGAGCTAGTCTTTGGAATCCCATGTTCCATCGCGTCATTGACGATAGAATCAAAAGCAACCAAATCGCCAGCGCGTTGTTCCAATCGCAGGTGAAACAGGTCCTCTGCCTGTGGTATATTCTTCCACTCATGGCCGTCTGTAGTTCTCTAGTTAGAAGAACAAGAAACTGCATCTTGATCACTTTATCATCAACATCATGTTTGATACTTCCCATAAATCATGATCATCATTCAACAGACAAAAACAGAAAGAAGTAGAAAAAGAACTTCGATGAGACCGTATCAAAAATTTCATATCGTTTTCTCCGCCAGCAGTTTTTGTCTCGGGAATGGGGCGCCACATGAGATCCCGCGTCGAGCCGAAGCTTGCAGCTATAGTGAGTTCTTCTCGCAAGCCTGAATCTCTATGGTAACAATGCGAGTCTTGGTGAAACGGCTTCCAATCACTTTCAGTGTACCTTAGTGCTAGTCGTTACGATTTTATTGATACGTTTGATGTCATTCATGATGTGCACCAGCAAGAACAGCGTCAGCGTGGGGACGCAAGGAAACAAGTAAAACGCACTGGCCGTTCGTATTAAGTCCCAATTCAAAGGGCTTTTCCTTCGTATCACAGACTTCCTTGAACATACTTCTAAACACGCCTCCTGTTTTCGCATAAAACCATAAATACAGGTTAACACGCAGCTCTAGCACGCGCACACCGAAATCTCGCTCCCATCTTTGAACAAAGGTTTCTTTTGAGTAGTCGAAAAAATCCTTGCCACACTGCTCTAATAAAACGCGATGATGACAGCTCCACGGTGTGATCGGTGAAGAAGAGCTTCGTGCTCGGCCTTGGGCTTTCTCCAACATATTTTCTCGTGTCAGCGTCTGAAAAACATCATCAGCTTCTCTTTTGCTGTAATATCCGCAACCATAGACAATTTCTCCGGGCGCGATAGTGTAAGGCCAATTGTGGCCACGTGCTTTTTCCCTAGTAGAAATAGGATTCCTAGGTCGCAGGTAGCGAAGCCTTAGCTGCGGAGTCGGTGGCCCTTCACGTCCTCCTCCGTCAATTCCGCTTCCGTCAATTCCAGCAGAAGTGTCTGCCACATAATTTCTTTTCTTCTGCTTTTGGCGTTGATTCCACCAATCCCAACACGATGAGCAGTACGCTTTCCCGTACCAGGTATTCTTTACCAGACGATCTGGATCTTCTGCGTTTACTGGATTTGGACACCAAGTGCAAGGAGTGCCTTTTCCATCGTTTCCCATGGTTGCAGTAGTTCCAAAAAAGGAAGATGTTTTCATCTCGATTTTGTTAGCAATAACCACCATTCATCTCTTCGCTTTGGTCTCGTATTTCTTTGTAACCTCAATTATAAAAATTTGGTCTGGTAAAAATATTTTGTTGCCACTAAGCATTTCTTTTTTGGAGGAGGAGGGTGGCTTGTTGCAGGGCGCAACAACACCAGAGTCAGAAAAAGAAAAACGAAAAGAATTTTAGACACACATCGAGATTCCGATGATAGATCCTTACTAGCGCTTCGGAAAGCGAACAAGATTTATTTTATGTTTCCCGACTTTTGCCGACTTCAAACAGAACCAACAGGACAAGCAAAAAACCGGCGTCAGATTTCCACCTAACATCTCGGATCACTCTTTCTTGATCACGATAGAACATAGTACTCGCAGCCGTTGCAAGGCGCAGCTGAAAGTTATACTTATTTAAGCTCCAGCGAGAAGGAGGAGAAAACAGTCTTCTCTGATTCTGCGGAAAGTGCAAGATAATGAGGAAGATTGGGTGCTGAGAGTTCGATAGGACAACGTCGACGTTTCTGGCGTTTTTGTGCAACAGGAGAAAGGGCAGAGTGACGGATTCAAGCAGGAGCTGAAAAAACCATCAGTTGTTTCGTTCTCGAGATTCATGCCTTACAAATAGCTTAAGCTTCCGATACTCCCATAAGTATTCGAACATGATTGGGGATGTCTGTAGTTAGATGTCAGTGTCACAGGAGACGCCGGCTGCCACGAGCGTTTCTGCAAGACTGCCATCGTGGACCGCTTCAACCATCAAGTCGATGCCTCCTATGAGTTCGCCAGACACGTAGAGCTGTGGGTAGGTGGGCCACTCGCTCCACTCCTTAAGTTTCTGGCGAACCCACTCGTCCTGCAGAATGTCGAATGTTGCGTAGCCCTGTCGTCCCGCCATCTCGTCTAGCAGACCCACTGCTTTCTGTGAAGTCGAGGTTTTTAGTTCTTTCCGCTTGATATTAGGTCTATTCATTCTACAACTAGGTCTTTTGTTTGATCCATCTTCATGTCCAACTCAAAAGTAATATCTCGAAAGCTTTATTATATTGTTCGGGGGAAAAGCATGTTCAAGATGCGCGTAAAAACCGTCGTGTAGAAGTAGTCATGTGCAAGAAGAAGCTGAATCTACTAAGTACCCTAGAGAATCCACATCGTGGTTCTTCCGGGTTTCCTTTCATGAAGAGCATGACTGGATGTGCGTTAATAAGGGGCTCCAGTCGTCTTCGCATTTCGTCCCTCTCTGCTTCCTCGGCGCTCAAGTGAGGCCTTTCCTCTTCTTGAGGAGGCACCGAGGCCAACAGTTCTTGCAGACTCCCGTCGTCAGCCATCTCACGCATTATGTCGAGCCCCCCCTGTAACTCGCCGTCCACATACAACTGAGGGTACGTTGGCCAACTGCTATACGTCTTCAGGGCCTAGAGGTATGTTATTTCATAAGATGTGAAGATGAAGAGTCCTCTGACGAGTCCAATTGTGCATATTAGAGGTGGCAATAATTGTGAACGTGAAGAAGATGACTGCAATCATATGTTGTTGTACTAGAAGAGCAGTGAAAACAAGCAAAGCATATGAAAAATGAGTCTTGCTCTTTTTGAAAAGTTCCCGATCTTCTCATATGACGCCAACCAGCAGAAGTACCTGGCGAATTTCCTCGTCTTGCAGTATGTCGAAGGTGCAATAGCTGTCGGATCCTATCAGATCGTTTAACAAAGCCACCGCTTTCTTTGAAAATCCGCAGAAGGGTCGGTTCTTGTCTCCCTTCATGAAAAGCATGACGCGGTGCGCTCTCGTCGCCTCGTAGCACCGCTTGTCGAGTCCTATATCCCCCGTTTTGCTGGTCTCCGACGGAGCCGAGCCGCCAGCCTGCTCCAAGGAACAGGAAGTCGATTTTTCTTGATCCACCTTCGTCGAAGAGGCTTGTGGTTGTGGTGCCGACTTAGTCCGACTTCTAGAAGAAGAATTGTTAACAGATTTCTGCGAAGATTGCGCTGAGGATTGTTCTTTGCCAGGAGCAGCCTGTTGTACCTGATCTTCGACATCGCGGAATCGCCTTGTAACAAGTGCTGGCTGCCACCACGCCAAGGGCCCGTTACCGTCAAGCATCTGCGTGAAAAAAGACGCGCTTTGCCTTTGCGATGATCCACTTAGAAGCAGTGATGGAGTTGATGAAGCCCCTTCTCGTCGTTGTGTCGTCGACGATTTGGTTTCGCGCAAGAGCGCTTCCGTCCGCGCCACCAGCTGTGGTGCGGAAAACCCAAGGACGCGTTCGCGCTCTCGCAAAGTTCCTCCTGTGTCACGCTGAAAGAAAAGCAGCGTCGGCAGCTGCGTAACCTCCTGTTTCAGGAGTTTTGAAATCTCCTGGCATTCTGCCTCGCTCTTTACCGCGTAGTGGAAAAAGCCAACAGCGTCCACATCGGGAAGCGCTGTCCGTGACACCACGTTTGCGAACAACGCTTCGACTCCCTGCTGGGTTGAATGTCCTGCTTCGGACGACTGTACTTCTGTTTCATGCAACAAGACCACTGCCGCGCCATAATCAGCCGCGGCAGTGCCCAACTGTGCCCATCGCACAAGCTTGACGGCCTCGCCGAGCACCCCTTCGTCCGAGCGAGAAGCACCACCACGCGGGATGAATACCATGATTCAAAAGGATTATGGAAGGACTGAAAGAGTATGTGTATGAAGAACAAGAACTACCTCTACTTAGATTTTCATTCAAATATCAAGAACGTTGGTCTAACCAGCTCTATGAATGAGGATACGTGAACAATCGATTATTTAGTGATCTAGTGCCATTTGTTCAATCCGATATCCAGCCTAAGCTGCTAACTTCCGACGATTTAATAGTAAATTGTTGGTGACTCATCAACCATGCACGAAAAAGATAAGTCGAGCAGCAAGTATTCACGAAAAGGGTAAGGGATGCGCTATCTTTGTTTACGCACCATACTTATATTATAATATACGTCAGTGTCTCTGTTTCATCAGTCATCGTGCAGTTTACTCATACCCATGTTGGATGGAATTGATGCGTGTTGGGAAAATCGTGCGAAGGGTGTCTGCACTAAGATAAACTTCTCGCACTTACTTATACGTTAAGGCTTATGGGGGGATCTTGAGTGACCTTGACCTGACCCTGAGATTGGACATTTTCAGCTATCTCTGATCATCGTCGTTGTCGACACATTTTTCGTTCCAAATGTGATTAAGTGTAATTGAGACCATCACCATGCACATCTGCCATAAATTGACCGTCTTTTTCATCCTTCCTGAACTAGCACTTCTACTTTTTTCAGAGCTTGCAGGAGAACAGCATGCAAGGAAATTATCTCTGCAGCACTGCTGCAATCCATCATACGTCTTCTTGACAACGAATTTGTTCTTCGACCATGTTCAGTGTCGCCAACGCTTCTTGTTCATGCAGCTGCTTAGTAGTTACGTCAGAGAAGAGCAATCCTACCAGAACAGCTTGTCGCTTCACCTGTGTAGAGCATTGCTTCAATCAACCGAGTTTTCTCCACCTGCGTGCGAAGTGTTGGGGGATATGGGGTTTGCTGGAACCACGCGCAGGGTCTACTCGACATTTGCTATTTGTACAACGTCCTGTACTGGGCATCATAGGAGACGGCAGCTCTTCCACCACTCAGCGGGTCAGCATCTGACCTAGAAGTCCCTCGCCACTCGATGAAATTTCTCTCTCTAGCCAAACTACCGAATTTGACTGCTGTTTACGACCGAAATTGCCTTCAGGGTCTTGTGACTGATAACTGTCTTCCGCTTCATCTCCATGAGCTTGTCGAACCATGGTATTGGTAGCAGTGGTCATTCTTTCTGCACATATAAGCATATTGAACTACGATCCCGGCGGAGAATGATGTGTTGACAGTGACAACAGACTGTTTTTCACTCGTTATGTTACAACCAGGTAGAACACTAGTCCTCTTCCTAGTGCCACAGGGTAGACTGGGAGGGCCTGTGGTTCCAGCGGCAGGAACCACCACTCGCGACGCCCCTACTTTCACATCAGTTTTAGTGCAAAGCGATAATCCTCCTCTGTTTAAAGTTTTCTCTTCTACGTCCCACCCAGAGACCGTTAGAAGCAATGGACCTCTGTATGGGGCAATTCTCGCTGGTGCATTTATTATTATATCAGTATCTACGTAGTTGCGTGCCTTATGACAGTCTTTTCTTCATCTGCAATAATTCTTCTTCCACCTTCAGTCTCCTGAGAGAAGGTAGACCCTTGTAAGACAACCTTGCTCTTCCTTCTCCTAACCCCCAATCGATCCTCAAGTCAGATATGACTCAGGAAATTCCAAGTGTGAATCAATTACACTTACCATGAGTCAGTAAGCTGCATGGCACAACTAGTCAGAGATAAAGAGAGGGAGGCCGTCCCTCACCAGGGACTGAGCCGAGAAAATGCAGATTTTCAGAGTCAGTGCAATGGGGGAAAGCTATATCTGCCACCAGGCAGACATAGTTGACCCAAAAATAGCCACATGATTGAATAAACCACGTTTCAACAACAGCTAGGCAACATACGAAAGAACGATTTCATGAAGATCTTCTTGTCCATCGTACTGACAATCTGATATAGTAGTTCTTAGATAAGGATAACAACTTCTACTCTCACTTCAATAAAGCCAACGGTTGATGTTCTTGTAAAAATGTCAAAACAATTCTTCCAGTACTTCCATTGTCACGTCTCCCAGACACAACCCAGATCGTGGACAAGCCCACCTCTTCTAACGTTGAGGTTCTGCTCCTACGCCACAGACTTTGTAAGTACTTCGAGGTCATGGATCATCCAACCCTTATTCGCTACTCTGCACTAGGTTGTCCTCCTTCTCAAGGCCTCGGCAACGGTACGAAAACGAACCGGTAGCGAAGACCCTAGACGGACACGATATTACATCAATGTCGAGCTACTAAAGAATCAACGATAACAACGCGTAGTTTCAACAACAGAAGAATTGCCAAGAAAATCAATGTCCTACCTCCACCTTAACCCTTTTACTAGTTCTCCTAGTCCTCGTGTTGTAGTATCTCATCATCTACCATCTTCTCCCTCTTGCATACTATATACTCGACGAACTAGTTCTAGTTTTGTTGTACATTCTTCATGTAAAATGACGTCAAAAAAGAAGTCGTGGACCCAACTCTACTCCCGTCATTCCCTTGACAATTGGCATTATTCTTACTGCTTGTAGTTCTTTTACACCTACAATCTTCTTCTTGTTCTTCTTCTTCAATCTACGATGTAGAAAAACTACTTCGCAGTCACCTAACTTTTGTTCCTTCTTCTCGTTATAAACTACTTAGACTTGATGAAACTAGTCTAGTGGTCGTCCCTCCGAGAAGAGTAAACTAGATTAGTTCTAGTAAACTAGACTAAACCCTTTACACTTCGACACTAGTAAACTAGACTACCATCCAAGTACTTAGTACACCTCCCTTTACACTTCAACAGCGGTCTACACTTCGACAGCGGTCTCCTTCTTGTTGCAGCAGAACTTCCAGATGAAGAATCCGGCCAGCGCTCCCGCGATCAACGGCAACACGATGATCAAAGCGATCTTCCATCCGGCCATGCCTGTTTCCTGCTTCTCGTCCGGGACAACGGCAGCGCGCAACAAACGGTTCGCAATGCGCTTCACGACCTCGTCAATCACACCTTCCTCCAGAGGCGCACCACCGAGGAACAGAGAGCCGTAGAAGACAGTGCTGCGGGTATTCGCGGTGACCTTGTAAGTTCTGGCAAGACTGCGTTGCTCCTCGAGGTCGCGCGGATGCAGAGCGGCGACCTCTTCAGCAGTGAGAGCCTCGTTGTCGTCTGCCACACGAGTCGTGATCGAGCTGTTAGCCTGGCCATGGTTGGTCACTTCGACTTCGAACTTCTTGCTCTCCTCTCCTTCATCAACGATAATCTTGGTGAGCGGACGGAACTTGTCGAGGCTGTCGAAGCCGAGGAGCACTCCGAGGTTCTTGTAGTGCGGAACGGGAACGGTCGACCATTCCTTGCGGGCGTTGTCCTCGGCGACATTCATCAGACGGCCGGTATTCAGACGGGAGTCAGAGTTGATGCCCGGATGAAAGGCGCTGACCAAGCAGCTCAGGAGCGGCTCTCCAGACGCCAGTCGCGGCTGCTCGTTCTCGCGATTGTACGAAAGAAGCTTCTCACTGTACTGGTCAATGAACTTAGATCCCAGCTCCCGATCATCCACGACACGGCGTTGTCCATCATCGTCGGAGTTGTAGAGGAGTTTCGACAGGGCAGTATGTCCTCGGATTGCTCCTTCAACTGCGCGCCTGTCATCAGCATTCGTAGGCAGCACTAGGGGAGATCGAAATTCTTCCTGCGAGTAAACACCCGTCAGGCACTCCTCTCCAGCTTTAACCATGCCCACAACTTCGAAGAAGTTGCGCAACGGCTTCAAGGCCTCCGTGACGAATTTTTTCTGTTCCTCATCGCGCTTCTTTTCCGCCACTCCGAACGCGGAGCCTGCTTCCCGCTCTGCCTCTATGAGCTCGGCCTTCTTTTTTTCGAACATCTGGATGCGAGTGCTCCATCTGTCGGCTTCTTCCGTGAAGAATCCCAATTTGCGTTCCAGATCCTTCTCCTCCCGCAAGAGCGATGGATAGGATTCTGCTTCCTTTCGAAGCGTCTCTAGGATCTCACTCTGCTCCTGCGAAAGTTGATTGGGATCGGGTAGACTATCGTGGAAGGCCTTGAGTTTTTCAAGGGCCTCAACCTTACCTTTTTCGAGAGATGGTTTAGTGTTTTGCCTGAATGTAGTTAGGGCCGTAGAAAAACCATCTCTGCTGTGTCGCGCATTCTGCAACTTCTCCCTCCAGGTGTCCATATGGTCCTGCTCCTGCTGCGCGAGCGCCTCCAACTGCTTTGTCGTCTTCTCGAGATGCGCCCACTTCTTCTTGTAGTCTGCATCCTTTTCTTGCAGTGCGGCCAGCTGATCCTTCTTTGCGAGGTAGTCCGCGTCCGTCTTGAGGTACTCGGTATCATTGACGATAACAGCATGCGCATTTAGCGCATCCTTGTCGAGTCTTGCGACTGCATCAGTGATGAAACCGGCGAAGACGTCGTGGAAGAACTCGATGCTGACGTGCTTCTGCTGGAAGAACACGCGGAAGAGTTCGCGAATGCGTTCCTGCGGCAACTTGTGGCCGTTGATCTCGATCAAGAGTTCAATCTGCTTGGCCAAAGGCTCCTCAACGGCCTTGGAAGCTTCCTTGACAGCTTCTTCGGCGGCCGCCATCTTTTCTTCGATTTCCTTGACTGCCTTCTGGGCGCGCTCCACCTCCTCGTATTTGGCGGACCAAATCGAGTCTAGCTCGGTGAATCGCTCAGTTTCCGCCTCTGCAAACTTCTCGGACTGCAAAGGATGCTTTTCCCATTTATCCTGATGGGGACCTTTGATCGCTCGGACTCCAGCGTTGAGCACCGGGTAGAAGCTGGCGCGTTCATCTTCCAACTTTCGGAGCTCTGCCTCGGAAGCTTCGCGCTTAGCAGTGGAGGTCTGCGCTTGGTCCATGATCATCGCCAACTTTTCCGCAATCTCGTATTTCTTCTCCGCCGTATCTGCGCCCTCGTGCTTGCGCTTCAGGGCAGCTGCTTGATTGCGAAGCACCGCCTCACCCGCTTTCAGCGATGCGATTTCACGTCGGAGTTTCAATACCTCCTCTTCCTCTTTACGAGCTTGCTCTTGCGCCTCACGCCACGGTCTGAGTTGCATTTCTCCTTCCACGCCAGCGTACTCGTTGTACTCCTTCTCCGCACGCGCTAGACGAGCCTTCGCCTCCAGGAGCTGCTTGTCCAGCGGGAACTTGTCGACCTGTGCTTTGAGCAGGCTCTTCATGGGTGCAGCTACTGAATCACGCGCTTCCTTGTTGGACTCGGCCACATAGGCCTTGTACCAATCACCCAAGTAACCTGGTGTGGTTGTTGTAGGAGGTGCAAAATGTTGCAGGACGCTTGATTCGATCATGTGGAGCTACAAGTGTAATCTTAGATGATTCATTAGATTTGGAGGGACTGCTTCCGGCGCAGCCCTGCGCGTCAGTAAACATCTGATGCTTAAGATTAACAGATGTGACCTTTTTTTCAATTAGTTGTTGCTCTATACGTTGTTGGTGTAGAACTTGAGGAAATGTCTAGAAATATAACTTTCTCTTTCTAGGAACAATGAAATATCTTCCAGAAGTGAAGCATCAACGTCGGCAAATTTTTCGCGCGATTCGCAGCAAGTGGTAGAGGTCTGTCTAAAGATCCTGACGGATACCGCACTACCATGAGCTCCTACTCAATTGTCTCTAGTGCTGCAACAAAGACATACTAGGCTAGCACTGCTCAGGATCTCCACGTACAAGGAACAACTGTGAGTAAACTATGTCTAGTATCTATACCTGCAATCTGACGGACAGTAAAGGTAGTGCCATCGACCTTGACGTTAGCCTTCGTCTGAACTTCCTTGGCTTTCTCGTCTTGAATCACGCTCGGGTCTGCCGCGAGTACCATGGTCAAAGCCTCGGCAACAGTGCTCGGAATCTCAACTCCATCAGTTCCGACAAGGACATAACCTGTAATATTTTCGTGGGGCTGCCTAGTGTTTGACCGAAGGAATAAGTAAAAGTGCAGGATGGGAATATTGAAAGACGACTTCCACTACGCCACCACGGACTTCAAATTCAATCGAGCAGGGAATCCAAGACCACAACGATGGTCTCACTACAACAAGGTTGCTGCTTATACAAAAATTTCACTGTGTTGGCTCTAGTTGTCCTAGAAGCTGGTAATTCGATTTCTTATCATGATTAAGCAACGCAAAGGCTTCGCCTTCTGAGAGGATAATAACGGGCAAAGCGCGAGGCAAGGGCCAGAATGAAGGAGATGGACCCCAGTCAGGACGAACTAGGATGAGACGATTCCCAGAGGATGATAGGAAATGCCACCACGTCAAGAAGAAATAAAAGCAATTACCAGGATGTTGAGCTTCATCTTCAGCACGATGGTCGCTGCGCACCTCGAGCCTTTCCTCAGGAAACTGCCCCACGACTTGCTCGGACATGAACAGCTTGATGAGCTCCGGATCCAGCTTCTCGAACAGGAGGCCCTTCTCTGCGGCCATTTTAGACCACGCCTGGATGCCAAAGTTGCTGTCGTCCGTACCCTCAACCTTCTTCAACACCTGACTGAAGGAATCCGACCCGATCTCGTTGGGAACCTGTTTTTGTTGTTTATGTTTTACCAAATCTATCACCTAGGTTAGTAGTCCTTCGGTGTTGGTGTGTTTTTAGCAATGGAAACGGTATCTATTTTTCTAGTGTTTTATCAAGAATGGAAACGGTATCTATTTTACTAGTGTTTTATCAAGAAACAAGTTAAGTAGTTGATGACGTTGAGTTGACTGGTAGAATGGTCAGTGGTGTGGCACGGTAAGCTTTGAAGCAGAATGAACAGCGCATAGAAGAATGGCCTAATGGCTTCTAGTGATATTAATTTCTATTCAGAAGCATCACAGTCCAGCTACATGAGCAACGTTTTGAGTCACGTTAGGAGTCACGCTAGGTAGATATGACAGCTACACTGACATATATCACTACTACTAGCATCTTATAATTCACCAAGAGACCACCCTTGATAACCGAGGACGTTTCGTCTTCCAGATGATATCTAAGTATATACAGACATCTTGAAGTCGGCACTTCCAGACCTCATATTCTCTACTAAAAGTACCTGAGGGGCAGCAGATGGAGCAGCAGCCGGGACTGCCGGGGCAGCTGGAGCAGCAGCCGGGGCAGTTGAAGCAGCAGCCGGGGCAGCTGAAGCAGCAGCCGGGGCAGCTGAAGCAGCAGCCGGGGCAGTTGAAGCAGCAGCCGGGGCAGTTGAAGCAGCAGCCGGGGCAGTTGAAGCAGCAGTAGCGACTCCCGAAAGGAGCATCGTAGCACCTGCCAGACGCATCATTTTGTGTGTTTTTCACTCCTAAGTCGTGAATAAAAGTTTTTGGTAGATTTTTGGTAGACAACCACGCCGACTGTGGATTGTATAATTCTTCTGTTGTTTCAGAACGTTGTTTTTGTGCACAAGGCGATTGAAAATCACCTAAACCTCTGCTGTAAAATTTGTTGTAGTTGTTGAAAACTAGGTAGTTTGACAAGTACGAAATCGTTTCTACTTTTGCAATAACAGACAGTACGAAGACAGTCTGCAATCAACCCTGTATTTTCATTTTTGGCGACGTGTCGTTATCGTCGTGCAGTCTTCAAGTAGAGACCTAAAAGAAGGAGAAGAAAGCTAGAACAAAGGGGAACTTGATTTTTCGAATGATACCAAAATTTGATGTGATCTTTTATCAACTCCCTTTGGTATCAAGATTTTTATTCCAATGAATTCCTACATTTTACGATTTCCACATTCATTTGCGCCATTTTTTAGGGACCTTGTTTGTGTTTCTGGTTCCGTTTTTCTGGGCCATTGTGGGAGCGTGGGGGATCTCTACAACACCATATCGGACCTCAACTCTCCGTCACTCTAAAAGAGCTTCATCCTTCAATCGCTCATTCATTCACTCGTCGCTCCTCAGACTGAATTTAAGATCTTTGTCCTGTCGGAGTCGTGTGGGATGCTCCTTTAGACGGTGGATCTCTGTACTGTACTATACATAGTATTCTTTGCCAAGTGCTGATCCTTGTGCTAATTTATACTCTCTCCTAGGTGGATCGTCTACGATCGTGGAGGATCTGTGGAGCTCTTCTCTGTAAAGCAAAAGCCGCGATCGGTATTGACGGATCTTCTCTGTAACGCAAAAGCCGCGATCTTTTTTGACGGCAGAAGTCTGTTGATCTGCGTGATTCTCTGGTGCGGATCGTGATCTTCTGGTGCGGATCTGTTGACGTCTGGTATTGTCCATGGATCTGTTGGTCTCAAACTGGATCAGAGGAAACGAACGTAAGAATCATACTGTGCCAACGTGACGGCGCAGGCGGCACGCACCCTAAAACTACGAGTTTTCCATGCGAAAAAAATTTTTTGAAACTTTTTGATGTCAGTCCAGAAGTCTTCATTTGACAGTGTCCATTTTATCCTGACATTCTTATCCAAAAACGAAGGCAATTTGTTTCCGATCCAATTCTTGGCAATTTGATTGCCCTGAGTGTCAGTAGTTTCCGCGATTGCGAATTTTCATGTGAAAGAACTAATGAGAGTGAGGGCACACCGTTGGACGTTCGCAATATTAAGATTCTGTTTTTAACGCTAGTAAGCAGTATTCGAATGTCAGTTTTGGCGCCAGGAAGCCCTAATCTCATTCCATCAAATGAAGTGGAAGATGCTAGCGCGTTTATCGATCGTTATCTTTGCATTCAGAAAAATCATTTTCAGTTACCGTCTTACATTATCGCTTCTAGTCGAGATTCATTTAGATTTACGTTCTCTGTACAACAGCTTCGCAGCCGCGGTCTCGTTGGTTTTCCATAAGATGATCGATGGGTAGAAGTAGATCGCGTTATCTACAGAGAAAATGACAAGACATTCCATGATGGTGATTTTCATCGAAAACCCCTCTTAAACATTATAATTTCGTTGAAAAAAGATACCAATCGTTCTCGAGCTCAATCAGCAGACCCTTGATTTCGCTAAGGACCTGGTCAAGAATGGCAAAATTTGTGTGTCATCCGAACAAGTGGAACCAATGTTAAGAAAGTCGCTAAATATTTCTGACCTGCTCCTGAATCATGATCCACATGCTATTTGAAAAATACTTAAGTAAAAGTGAGTCTACGAATGCATTTTATGCTGAAACACATTCAGTCTCCGTCTAAGTAGCTACCCAGCTCTGTTGATGCCTTTTTAGATAAGTATAAAAGGAGGGCTCAAGTTGTCCTAGTTGTCCTTTGAACACGTCTTCGGGCCAGTTGTGGTTCAGAATTGCAGCGGAAGATGCATGGAGAAGTTAAAGAATCCAGCATCCCTCGCACAGGCGAGGCCCACAACGTTTCATCGGGTCACTTTTCTGTTCACTGCTTGCATCCTCATTTTTTCTTGTATGTTCCCGTAAGCCTCCATCGTCATGATTCCCATCGCTCTCTACTCTACCACATTGTCATGTCTCTTCCGTCAGTACTTGATGTTGCTCATCGCCGCGAATTTGCTGCCGAGAGCTAGTCGTGTGGGCTGCGCCGGTTCCGCACACATGATCAGCAAAAGCCCGTGGATTAGAAACAAGAAAACCTCTTTTTCTGGTCCTGCTGTCTGAGTGTGCTGTGGTGAGAGCGCCTTATGTTAAGTTTGGCTATCGATATAGTTCTGACTAGATCCGGCTTACGTAAAAAAAACACGAAGAAGACAGAGTTCCTTCTCGCAACAAGCTGCTCTTACTTATAGTCATAACTACTGTGCTTACAACAACCCTACTAAGGGAAGCAGAAAAAAGCACACCAACAGCGACGTCTCAGGTCTCACACACACGCCAGTATTTGGATTCGGATTTGGAGATTTCCGAAATTGTTTCTGGCCACCTATAAGGGCGCAGTACGTTTCGCAATCAACAAAAAAGCGGGAGACAGCATGAAGGACTCACCACAGCAAGCAGATAACTGAGGAACTAACTTAGAAAGAAAGCTAATGTTTCAAACAAGTCATAACAAAGAGATCGGCAGTGTGCCCAGAAGCGCTTCTCCAGGGAGCTCCAGGAGGTGCTGGCCCTCCGCGGACACTGGATTCACACCTGCACGGATCAATACTCCTGTGAATAACATCGCACTAGCGGTCTGCAACACACAATAGAATGATACCTGGGATGATCATGCGGGTGGTAGTGGTTGCAGAGGAAGTGGTTGCAGGGGTAGAAGTGGTAATAGTAATCATGGTCCCCGCAGTGGTAATAGTGACGGTCCCCGTACTAGTGGTAAACGTAATAGTGATGGTCCCCGTAGTGGTAGTGCGTGTTGGAATAGTGGCCGGGTAGAAGAAGTGATTTTTGTAGTCTTAGTAGTAGTTCTAGTTGTGCAGCTCAAAGTACAGGGATGCTAGGCAGTGGTGGTAGTCCTAATCTCCATATTCTTTCATTCACTCGAACCACGTAGCGGCTACAAGTAGCTGTCTGGCTCTGTTGTGACCCGAATAGAGACGCGGCAGCTCCAAAAGACCGACTGCCTAACGACGTGAGTAACGTCTCTGGCAGACTGAATAGACCGACCGTTCTTTTTCTTGACGATACGACGAAGTTTACGACCTTGGATTCTAGTTAAAGAAATACCTTGCTTGCCTCCACACGTTGCAAGGCGTAGTTGACTATCAGATAGCAGGCGCAACCTGGAAGGGCGATCACCCATAGCATTAGAGGGTACGGACTTGCGACAGAGCAAGGTGGGGCTTCGCTGCTAGAGCGTGAACAAGCTTTGAAGCGGAGAGAACATTGCTAGAGATGATGAATATCACACCTAGAAGATGTGCAATACCTGAGCAGCACGACGTCCATCAAGTTCTATCCGAAAAAACAAGGGAGGAAGGGTATATTGTCGATCAACGACAATAGGAATTGATCAGACTCAACGAGGACGTAATGGTCATTTAAGGAGGTCGGATGCTCAGACACTTATATATACGCCACTGGTCAAGAAGACTGGAGGATCAGCGTGAGGAATTGAAAAACTGATCAAGCATTTTTAGCATGTTCATTCCATAATGCAAGTAACCACGCAGGCGGCAACGTCCAAGGGTGCGACATGCACCGCGTCTCTTCTGCACACAGACGTCGCAGCAGCGCAGGCCAGAAACCCCAATTCACGTACAGGCAAGAGACCTGTAGGATTAGGTTGTTGATACTCGTCCACGATAGGGACATTAGAAACAAACGGACACGCTTAAACCCACATACGAATTTTAGGGAAAATTAGGGAGCCATAATATCCCCTAAATTTCCCCAAGTTTTGACCTCCTCCACAAGCGTGTCCGTTTGTTCATAAGGACAGCACCTCGTCATTCATGTGGCTTAAGTACATAACATCAAATAGGCTATAGATCTACAACTGATACAATACGATCATCCACATCCTAACTATCAAAAATATTAAGAGAATCGCCGCAGACGCAGGTACTACTGCCATTTTTGTCCAGATGAAAGGTTCAAAAATGATATCTCAACCAAGAGACAAGGCGACACGAGGACCTACTGCAGCCTAACTATCAAAAATAGTAAAAAACAGTGAATTTTTTTTCAAAGTACTAGATTTCACATCAGTCTACAAAATACCAGGGAGAAGAACGCCGCTGAGGTGTAGGTGTAGACAGTGAGCTGCAGCGGAGACTCGAACCGCAGTAGAAGTGCTTTCGTGCCGACGAGGTAGAGACTGCAACAGACTCCGTTGAAGAGGAATAGAAGACACCCAACAAGCGGTGGCGATCGCGCGACTAGCGCCAGAAACGTCTGTGGTGCTTCTTCGCTGTCCTCCGTTGATGTCAATTTTTAGTAGGACACTTCTGTGGCACAGTGCGTCAATTTTTAGGAGGACTACTTGGATCTTCTGCAGCGTGGATGCGTCTCCATATGTAGAAAGAAATTTCGTTTCCGAGTTATTGACGAGAAATCCCCACAACAACGATCATGTAGTAACAGCTTTTTATAATGAACCACTTCTCCATGTCCATCTACTTAGAAGTGACTCCTTACAGCCTAGTCGCTTTTAATACACCCTTGTAGTTGGGAAGATGTAGCTCCCTTCTAGTGCGTTCTGTACTATCTGTTCGACGTAGTCGACTCTGAACTACATGAGTCATGAATTGCAAGTGTCCATAATGCATCTTTTCCAACTGCTTCGTCGATTTTTTCGCAGCAAAAAATGCACGATTTGCGTCTCTACTTTGGCTCGCTAATGATGTTGATGGCGTGTGCCCTACTTGGCGTATTGGCGTGCTGGATGACATGAGTACAGAGGACGACGTCGGCGCACCACGACCTTCATGACTTGGGGACGCCGAATAGTCTTCCCTGCCACCTCCGCTCAATTCCCCCGCATTTTTCCTCCCATTTCCTAGCATTTTTCTCGCTCCTGTCCGCGACGACGAACGCTGCTTATTTCGTAGCACTGTCGAAGAACCTTGTCCATGTGTACTTCTAGTTAGAGAGAGGTATAGCTCGTCTTGCTTCCAGCACGAATGTTGTCGATGAATTTCAGAAGTTTCCTACTATCATGTACAATAAAAATTAAATGAATAAATCAGTTGAACATCTTTCCACCAGATACTAGATTTGACCATTACCCCTGAGGCGGAAAATGAAAATGAAAACAAACTGATGACACGAATCTAATCGGCAGCTTGCCTAAGAGTTCCCTGGCGATAGTTCTTGAATTGAAATGCCTGTTCTACTTGGCTTGTTCCTGAATTGAGATACCTGCTAGCTTGTTACCCTGCTGCAACCTTGGTCCTGTCTAAGTAGTAGCCTGTTACCCTGCTTTTTAGTATACAACTTAGATGAAAAACTATAATCTTTAACATGGGTTCATTCACAGCTGTAACACGTCTGGTCCCGCTAGTCTAGACTTAATAGAGAATCCTGCTCCGTGTCGGATTTTCTCATCTCGAGTTGCAGTAGCTCGCTTTGGGCTGCGTGCATACGAATTGCGGGATCTCTGAGAACAAAGTCTGGCGCGTAGTTCGTTAACCAATTACACACACGACTCGCCTTCGAGACTCCCTTGTTCTGGCCTTGCGCTCTTTTTAGACAGAATGTTGAAAAATTTGAAGCATAACTAATATTCATAGCAGGAGAGCTACAGCTGGAGGACTGAGACATACCTTGTAGAGACGTAGATAGAAATACGAGTCAGATGGGACGATGCGAGATTCCCAGCGTTCACAAGATATTCCTGTCTTAAAAATGGATGAAGAATGCTGGAGGATTGCGCGAATGACACTCCGTTCTTTGACGTCGAAACCGCACTCCTCAACAGCCTCGTATTACTCGCGTGATCCTGCAGGAAACTCAGAATTGCTGGTCTTTTCTTGGTTGTTCTCTTCATCTGCGACAGTACATCTTGAGTTTGCGCTAATCGGCTACGGATGCGGTGCAGCGCGTCAGCGCTAGGCCTCGTTTTTCCACTGTGTTCACTACTCGTGGAGGAGGACATTAGCAGTTGTGTGGTCTTTAATAAGGTTTGGTTGTTCATCGCTTAGTAGTTTCATTATCATATATTATAATATAAAAAGTCACGGATTTACATCCCCAACCTACTAGTAGCTACCCTGCTTTCAACAAGAGTCAAATACAACTCATGCGTATCTAATTTCGGTGAGTCATGCCTTAATACTTGATGCTGCTCTTGCGTGCCGCCAGCACTGGCATCTCCGCGATCTTCCCTCGACCTTCCGCCACTGTGCGCCGCCGCACTCTTAATCAGAAGTGTGTCTTCCTCGACATGATTGTCTTCATGCGACAGCGCTTCTTCTTCTGCTGTTCCTGTGGTGCGCTGAAGTGAAGTGTCCAAGAATTCATCCTGCAACAACCGACGCTTGACCTCCTCCAGCCCTATAAAGATTAGAAGTACGACTAGTCTCTCTGACAGGACTCAGCTGGAGGCTACTACGTACTTAGATTACAAATTTATTGCAACGATTTTCTGCACAATATTGTTAATATTCAACAATAACTACTACTGCAGGACCAGCCTCCGAATAAAACGAAAAGTAAGTCTGTCAATCATACGTTTCCGAACGGAAACTGCGTCGCTGCTAGATGGTGGTGGAAAAAGAAGTCACTCAATTCGTTCGATGAACGGCAGATCATGAAACTTGCACCCAAAATCCCACACATGATGCCTGCCACCTTCGCCGCTGACAGGCTCTCCGTCCGTAGAACCATGGCGGTCAAGACTAGCGTTCCGGGAATTAGAGGGAGCGCAGGCGCTTTTGGTTTTATCTTTCACCTCCACGAGTAATCCACTCTCATTTTTGCATTTCACCTACACATCTGCCTAGGCCAAATTTGGACGAATACAGAAGCGGTAATCACGTTAGATGAACTACAAGATGGAAGAGACGGAATCAATTTCGACAAAATACTGCGAACCATAAAATCGGTTGCCACGGCTGGAACGCAGTCGCGATGACAGCACCCGCTGGTCCATAGATCTTGATTCCCAGTATGATGCACATCTGTGCGGTCCATAGACAAAAACCAAGAGGTATCACCCACGCACGACGCCGCCAAACTTTCGCGGGGTCGTCGTCCTCCTCTTCGAAGCAACTACAGGAGTCTTCATCTTGATACACTTTCAACTCGTTCTCATTCAGTCGATGTCTTTGTCTTTCGCAAGCATCGTCATCTTGTTGTGCTAGTCCTGCAGTTGTGTATGTTGATGCACTTGGAAAAAAATGTTCATCTTCATTTCTTGTAGCATCACGAGGAAATGATCTCCAATTTGATGAAGAGGAGCAGGACCACGCGGGCTCGTGCTGCGAAATAAAATGTCCTCGTCCGTTCTTCTTGTCGTCCTTGTGGTCCTCACCTGCAGATATTGAACAGCCTCCAGCTATGTTGAACAGCTCACAGCCTCCAGGCGGAGCACCAGGTGAGCCAAAGCTAGTGCTGGCGCTACATTCATCTCCTGGTGTACTTCTTGTAGAAGTAGATAGTCCTGGTTGATGTTGATCTGAAAAAGCACCATGTACTATTGGTCCTCTCGTTCTTGTTTCCCCCGAACCGCTGGCCGACGGTGGTGAGAACCGTGTCTGCGGTCTACGATACCTGGAGTCACGCGATCGTCGGCTCATCCTGTCGTCTTCACCCTCACCCTCACGTTCTGAATCGGCCTCGACAACAACACGCGCGCGGCCGCCAACAGCGAGATGCCTCGCGTGATAAGACGTTCTTAGCCTTAGAGCAATGAATTGCAAGAAACAAATAATACTTCTATGTAAAATGAGAAAAAATTATCGAACTGGTGTCGGTGTGTACCTTGTAGAGGTTGTTGAGCTTATTTCACCAACATCATGAATTCTCAATGAGACCTCGCATGGAGGTCATAGTTTCTTACGGTGACGCTTAATATGAGGCAGCATAAATTTTTCTCTGCCGTTCGATTTCTTCTATCTGGCGCAAACACTTCTTCTATTTCGCTCGTTGCAATTCTGCCACCCAAGGTGTTTTGCTCGAGTGCTCTTGCTTCGGCAACAGGCGGATCTCCGCGACCTCTCTTGGACAGTGAGCCAGCGTCCAGATGTTACATGATGTGGACAAAAAAGACGTAGGGGTCGTGACTTGCTAACGGTTGCTCTAGCTCTTTTCTAGTAAAACGAAAGATCAAGTGTGGTTTATGGGGTACTATGCCGCTCTCTCGACATCATGATCATTAGGTGGACATATCAGATGAAATTGACACATCTGGCCAGCATCGGAGCATCTTGAGTAATATCGACAAAGCGAAAAGAAAACCGGAAGAACTCGCTAACAAAGACCTATTTAGTTAGAATGTCATTTCATACCCAGATATGCCTCAGCAGGTGCTTCCCTAGATCGGTCCAGTTGCCGCACGGTTACATCGCACCTTTCCTCGATGCGCTTCGGCAGGCAGCAACTACTGGGACACACACTGCGTCTGTCAGCTTCATCAATGCTGACATCAGGTTCCTCCTGTGGCTCCGCTTCGTCCGCAATCTCTTCCGAGTTCGGACGATGGGCAGCGACAGTCGTGTCATCGACTCGTGATGAGGACGAAGAAAAACCACTGTTTTAGAGCTTGGCAAAAAGAAGAATCAGAATGTGTAGTATTTACTTAAGTCATTATACATACTTAGTCATAGTCTTACTTTTACTACCTAGGAATCAATTACGATTGTACCATAATCAGAATAAAAGTTGCTATCCTAATATCGGCACAATAAATTGCAACTCTGTCATTCATCATGCACGTGCCTTTGAATTACCATTCTGCAAGCAATCTTCAATTGATAGTTGCCTTAACTCTTATTGTGGCCTTCGAAGAGCGAAGGTGACCCAGAAGTATCTCGCGCAGATCTACCACCGGCATGTGCACGAACGAGCAGAAAAATAACCCAGAAATTAGAATTGCACAAGCATAGCGCGGGTCTCGATTAGTACACATCAATCATGGGCTTGCGCATCAGACACAGACAGCGCATGTAAGACACGGTCTTTCATCAGGATCTCTTTACCGAAATCCTTAAAGTGTAGCAGCCTTAAATAGGAGAGCCGCGGTGCCGACTTCGCGAGCCAGCGTGAGTGTCAGGGGATTCACATTGGGCAAATACAGTTTATACAGCACCATTGTGACCCCTGCGATCACCTGCCCAAGCATCAGCATGATATGGGACGTCGTAGTGCCCGCGTCGCTGCCGCATATCGACACGCCGCTAGTCTGCAACGATTGTGCCATGTTGGTCTCCGAGGCTTGGGTACTGAGAAGTTCCCAACTGTTGTGCTTCCTAAACAAAATTAAGCCTATTACGTGAGGTGCCAGTCATTCCTCCAACACAAGAACGTTGCGTCGTCTGTTCTTTCCTGCCGCGGTCCTCTTCCGTGTCATGGAAATTCCATATTGTCTGTACGAGTTCGAGTTCGTTGACTTGCTAAGTGTCTGTCGAATGAAACTCTTAAACAAGTCATGTTGTGAAAATTAGAAGTGTACGTTGAATTTTCTTTTCACTACAGTAGTGCAGCTCCTGCGCCAAATTTTTTGCCCATGGCTCGCCTTTTTTTCCGATCAGATCTACTTATCTCCAACCAGCAGCGTGGGACGGAATTCATCGAACCGAGTCTCAAAATTATCAACGAACAGAGCAAAGATGCAACTCTTCACACCTTTCACCTTTGTTGATATTAATCCGCAACAGCTATTTTTTGTTTTTGATGAAACAAAAAATAAGAATGGAGTCGTTCCACCTGCTACAAGAGCGACCAAACAACGCTTTTCGCGAACCCAGTCACATCCTCGTGTCTTTACCCCAAGAATCTCTTCATATTCTTTCATATCGCATGTTTGGTATAATTGCGTCGCAACAAGAACTACTAAGTAGAGATTTTCCAACTCTTTCACAAAGATTTGACGTTTTTATCTTTTTCATCCTGTGTGTTCTATTCTGTATCTTCTCATTCTCTACTGAGAGCTAAGTCTAAGAGCCAAGACTGCGCCTGTGTGGTCATCCCATTCGCATTCTCTCGCCCTCTTTCATCAAGAGTGTCCGCAGCACATCACGACTCCGCAGCCGCAGTGGCGGATTCATTGGAGGCGCGTTCGTGACGTCGACGCCACAATTCCTGTAGAAACGTCCTTTCGGTATCTGTGATGTCCCGTTGGTCGATTTTTTCGAGGCGTGGCGCGGTCAAAATCAGTGGCTCCTGGTACTTCTTCTCTGATTTGGTAAACGGATTCGGATGCACCGTGAACAGGGTCAACTGTTGGGTCGGCAAGGACTCGGCTCATGAAAGGGGAGAAATGTAGTTCATTGAAATCATCTTAAATCATCTCCTAGTAGGCTCCTGCAGTGGGTCGAGTAATTTGAGAAACGTTTTTTATGGAGCGTCAGTGTGCTAATATTTCAAACCACTATGCTTACAATTAGTACTTACTCAATTATCGATTTTGGTACTTACTTAGAATTTCAATTTCTTTTGCTTGCTATGGCTATCCATGTTCAGTGAAGTCAATCTGTACAAGTGCAACATATATATTCTTATAATTCTCGTCTTCTACGTCCAGTCATGTCAATCTTCACTACTAAGTATTTTCGTCCAAGTAGTCATAGCACAGCGTCTTGCAGGGACTCCAGCTCGTTGTTTTCGCAGTGGAGAATTTTCAGATTGACAAGACAGGCCGTTGGCTGAAGAGTGGTGAGCTTGCATCCACGCACGTCCAAAAACTCCAAGGTTGAGGCGACCCCTGAAAGATATAAAGTCTCCAAATACGGGTTGCTGGACATCGCTAACCAGGAAAGCGAGGGAAGTCGTACGCTGCTGTCGGCAAACAAATCTTAGATTTTTGTCGTAATTAAATAGGGGATTGTGACTTGTTCGAGGTACACAGACATTGTTCATACTTGTGGAAAACAAGGTAGTTTTCCCAGCTAGTGGTACTTACCGGACGATGGAAAATGTCTTTACGGAAACAAATAGTGATGTGAATGACGGAAATTACCCGGTGGAAGACGAAGATGTCGAGAAAACTCCAATGTAAGAATACGAGGATACTAATTTTTTTCTCATACTAACTTAAAATGAAACATTTTTCGACGACTCAACATAATTCTCGGAACTGAAGTCGAGAGACTCTAGCTTATTTCCAGAAAGATTCAAGCTGCGCAAACTGCATGCGTGCTGCTCCGCTGCTGCGCTTTTGCTACCTCGACGCCCCTCCTCTGCGCCACACGCTTTTGCTGCCTCGACGAGAAGTGAAACTGAAATCTGAAGAAAACTCTCAAGATGAGCCACATCTTATTGAAGGTGTTGTCGCTATACGCTCCAACTCTAACGCCGGCAATGGTGAAACTTCGATATAATCTTGAATATGGATACGACGAGGATGGACCCATGTAGTAAGTTTGTAAGTATAAAGGTTAGAAAGTTGTCCGTCGATGTCCCTGATCTTTGTAAGTAAAAATTTTAAACCTTTTCACAGCCTGATAACATATTAACTCTTGCTCCACTCGTTCGTCGCCTCCCGACGCTGCTGCTGCTACTGAGCAACCTTCAGCTGCAGACTGATCCTCCGACTCCGTACTTGACTTCTGCTCAGTCGCAGCAAGCTGAAGTCTAGACAGCTGTTCCCGCGTCATAAAGATGTTCTCGAAAGCGAACTCCGGCAACGCGTTGTTCTGCAAGTACAGAAGCTCGACTTTCAGTGGCTGAAATGAATCTAAAAACAATATATAATAAATCTTCCGACCACGACATAAACATTCATAGCAACTTCAACAGTTGTAAAATGATATCGGGGGGGGGCGCGAGGTTGAAGTTGATATTTATGATTTGTATCGATGCAATACACGGTGCACAACAAAAAATTCAAGGTAGTCGTGTTGTGGTAGAAGAACATATCTTCGCAGCTTTTTTGGACTATCTGCATACTCAGAAGTCGCCTTACAATTACTACTCCTGCTGCTTCATCTAAAAACAATAATAAATCTTCCGACCACGACATAAACATATCAACTTCAACAGTAAAATAATATCGGGGGCGATGTTGAAGTTGATATTTATCACCTATAATTTATTCTATCGTGTTCATCTTTGTTCTTCAAGGCGATCATAAAAGCGGATCCACTTGGGAAAGTGCATTGTCATAGCAATAGAGCACTTTCAAATTCGGAACGTTGGCACCAAACGTTTGCCCCCATCGCGTTATATCCAATTCCTCTAGGTGTAAATGCGTTATTTTTTTCATCCAGCTCTTCACGCTTTCGTCCTTCCCACGCTTCACCTCGGATTTTGAGTAGTAGAGGCAGGAAGATAGAAGAAGTGTCGTGAGTAGTAGAAACAGGAAGCAGGTGGAGAGGAACATTAGCGTCTTAGTTAGCGTCTTAGCCTTTCTATTTGTTAGATGGCCTACGTATTTTGTATTGATGAAAAATTTTCTATCACATATATAATTTGTTAGACCTATGTTGATGAACTGGCAGTATAAACAGCTCCTCGCCACGGTTGATTCTGATTAAAAGAAGGTCAAGCAAAAATGACAGACTTTTTTGTACGTGGAGGTTCGCCAAACAAAATTCCACAAGTCAAATCGCAATACCGAGTTCACTCGCTTTCGAAGCATAGACATTGTCAATGTCCGCACCTCTACTGTAGCAGGACAAATAGTGGCGGCCTGTAGTCCGACATCAACAGTGCCGCCTAAAGATAAACCTTGGGTGCTCGTCATGATCAGGGTTTAAACCAACGACTGCCTTTTCTTGTAGTGATCTTATTTTATTAGAATGAAGGGTCCTTCTAGTACATAGTTAAGCTTATTCAACTAGAACGGGAAAAACTCGAGTAATAAAAATTAAAATTAATAATCCTCGCAAGGGCCGCGTAAGAATAATGCGGCGGAACGAATACCTCGTCATTTTCATTCATGCGCCACCACCGCCTCGATTCGTTAAGGTCAAAACTCCTCCTTTTTTTGTATCAAGTCTTCAAAAAACAAAAGACTCAGAATGTTCTTGTGTGTGCTGGGGCGTCTATTTTCTATGTATTGCTTTCTAAGCATCATTCTTGCCTACTTCTAGCTCGACCGAGCCAGAATCAGTTTTCGTGTTCTTTACAGAAGATATCAAACCGAAAATGGTTGTGATGCAACGTCGTCATCAGAGAGAACTGTATTTCATCCTTCGCTCTGAACCTTGGAGTTGCATAAGAAGTATATGAGGTACAATGAAAAGAACAGATGAGAGGCCTCCTTGGTATGTGAGACATTCGTTCCTGCGTCTTCTTCGTTCTCTCTGCCTCTCCGTCTCATCCCTCCTTCTTAGTTCTCTCTCAGCCCAGAAGCCCTCTCGCTCTGAGTTCAGATTTCTGGGGGACCTCGATCCAACCAGATTGCCACGCGCGACAGCTCTATGTGAGTCTCCCTGGGTCACAACCACACGGATCATTGCTTTTCTAGCTGCACCAATGTCTCTCGCGAACCGAGGCCAACCTTCAAGTGCTCTGCATATTAATGAATAGAAGCAGCATAATTAATAGAAGCAAAGTTTTGAACACTCTTTACTCCGTGGCTTGTTGATGCCGTGGCTTGTTGATGTTCTATTTCCTCCCTCGTCATCGTAGTACTATTTATCCATTCTTCCTCATTAAATAGTTTCATTCTTCCTTGTCCTTCTAAGAAGGGCCTTCTTGTACCACTACTAACACTATTCAACATTCATTGTAAGTAGATGTAGGGCTATACGGCCGGAGCTGCATTGGGGAATTCCTCGACCTGGATTTGGCAACCAGCATTCTACTTCTAATAAATACAACTAAACCAATCCAGTACAACGGACACTCGACCTTTGACAACATCTCAGTCTTTCACCTTTCTATTTGATTATGAAGATTTACTCTCATCCATACAACATAGTTGTATTTATATTCAGTCTACAATTCATAGTTTCATTGTGATCTTTGTCACATCCTCTAAAGAGCCATTTGGTTACTGTTATTGTTTGACCTTTGTCACATCCGACAAAGAGCCATTTGGTTGGTGTTATTGTTTGACCTTTGTCACATCCTACAAAGAGCCATTTGGTTGGTGTTATTGTTTGACCTTTGTCACATCCTAAAAGATACAAGATTATGACATCACTTCTCCAGTCGATGTTGTCCTCTGATCTCTGCCTTTACATCATCCTAAAACAAGATATAAGATTGTATTGAAGTGGAATCGGGCCAAAACTGGAAACTAATATTTTTGCAATAATTTCATTCATCGTGTGCGCAGTATTAGAGGCACTACTACTATTATTCTCCTTTTATATATGATCTATCATTTCTGTTTCGAAAAGAGCAAGATTGGTGAAATAGAAATATCACAAGTCTTCTTCTTCTCCATGATGCATGCTGCTCTGGTTCCTCAAGAATGCTGATGCTGTAGTTGCTCACTGTCAATGTCACTATTCCCTTAGGTCCTCACAATAATTCCTGCGAGAGCGTTCTACTTAGTAGTTGTAGGGACCTAGCTCACAGAGTCTCTAACTTTTTACAGAGCGTGCCTAGTAGTCGTAAGGACTGTGACCTCGTGGCTCGCCTTGCTGCAGGCCTCGTTCGCCTTGAGCGTTGTTGTGTTCCAGATTCGAAAAAGCGGTCGCTGCTTGGTTGCCATGAACCTGGTTATCTCCGTAGCCTTCGAAAAGCGGCTGCCGATGCCCCATCGCATTCTGAGCCAGTTCGGACTGCTGCGGTTGCATTGGCTGCTGCCGCTGCTGCATCAGAGTGGTACCCTGCTGATCCTGCATATGCTGCTGCATCAGAGTGCTACCCTGCTGATCCTGCATATGCTGCTGCTGCTGCTGCTGCATTAGAGTGCTACCCTGCTGCTCGTGCATATGCTGCTGCTGCTGCATCAGAGTGCTACCCTGCTGATTCTGCATATGCTGTTGCGGTTGCGTCAGCATGTCACTCGGGTAATGGTGTCCCTGCGTAGGCTCTTGCTGCGTCAAGTTATATTGGTGCTGCTCCTGCATATGCTGCTGCGGTTGCATCATATTTCTCTGCTGATCCTGCATATGCAGCTGCGATTGCATCGTGTTGCTCTGCTGATCTTGTACATGTTGCTGTGGTTGCATCATGTTGCTCGGCAGCTCCTGCATAGGCTGCTGCGGTTGCGTCGGCATGTCATTTTGGTGCCCCTGCATATCACGCTGCTGATGCATATTATTTCCCATTTGATTCAAGATGCTTGGCTGCTCCTGCTGCATAAAGTTGCTGTTTTGCTGGTTCATCATCATCGGGCGATCGTGCTGCATCATATTATTTGCCATCATCATATTACCTCCATGGATAGCACTTTGTTGATGTTGCAGGTGATCTATCATCATGTTGTGTCCGTGAGGATTTTCTTGTGGCGCGGAGGGCACACAGGGAGGCATTCGGGCATTGTGGTCTTGCTGCATTCCAAGTACTGCTTGTTCGTGCTGATCTTTTTTAGTTTCTTGTTGTTGTTGGTGCGTTTTGTTCTTGCGAATCAGTGGTTTTTGTTCACTGTCAACAACAGCTCCTTCGGTAATCTCAGCAGCGTCTTCGCGGTTTTTCTTGCAACGACAACACAACCAGATGCCAATGATGATGCCGATGACGGCAACTACACCGACCACTGCACCCACAATAGCACCAGTATTGCTTTCGCTGCCTCCCCCATTAGGGTCAACTGGCGGATCGGCAGGTCCAGGACCGGGATCCACTGGTGGAGCCGGAGCTGGATCCACTGGATCTCCACCGGCTCCACCTCGACCGGCTCCGCCAGCACGCGCACCGGCTCCGCCCCCTCGAAGTCGGACTCTATTAAACCCACCAAATCGGGCCCCACCGGCTCCACCTCCACCGGCCCCACGCAAACCGCCTCTACCGGCTCTGCCTGCACCAAATCCGCCTCCACCTCGGTGACCACCTCCACCTCGGTGACCACCTCCACCTCGGTGACGTGGAGGTCTCAGGGCTGACACCGAAACAGGTCCTAGCAGGAAACCAATTAGCATCGCCGTCCCGGCACAGCGACGAGCAAGTTTAAGACCCGGCATTTTTCGTGATTGCAATCAGTGACTGAAGTAAGCCAGCAGGTTTGCTTACCTTGTAAGCTTTGTTTGTCTATAAGGTGTGCACTTATGGAGCTTGCTGCTTGATTGGGCAGAGTGAGCGTGATAAGACATTCGGATGCTAGTAAGTGCTGACGATTAGTAGTGAGAATCCTCTATCATGTCAGAATCATATACGGACTAATGATGACTGATTGACTGATTGCGTGACCGTTTGAGATAATGCTGATCCTGATGATGGATTGAGATCCCGTTGAATATCAATACAGTCTTCGTCTTGTTTCTACTACTACATACGAGGCTAGAGCTAGAGTCGACGTACTACTAGCACTAGGAAGGGGGAAATAGGAAATACTTACTCGCGGGAAACGAAATATTTACTCGACGAGGATGAAAATCGAAGTGGGTCTGCTAGTTATATTTCTTACATTCAAGAAGAAAGAAATAAAAATACTCGACAAAGACAATTCCGGGTATTAATAAATACTCCTATTTTCAATGAAGATGATGGTTCAAGCTACTTTGTGGGATCGACGCCACGATTAATAAATAGGTTGCAGGTTTCTACTCTTGTCGAACGGGTTCTAGAATTATAGTGGGTTATCAATCTTATGATAAAACTCACAAACTAGATGTTCTTCGAAGTACTCTGTTTTTGCTCGCGGAAAAACAAAGAGAGTGGTTGAAAACTTGTCCTGTTTTCGCTAGTAGGTGAGCGCTGTGTCTTGGAACTCCCGTTCACAAATAGAACAAGACTTTTGTGCGTAAAAAATACAGAGATCAACTACAGAAACGAACGAGGATCAAGAAGATATGTGAACCTCAAGATCGCAGTCGAGGATCAAGATCATACTGGAGAGTCAGATGTGAGACTCAAGATCGCAGTCGAGGATCAAGAAGATCATACTGGAGAGTCAGATGTGACCCTCAAGATCGCAGTCGAGGATCAAGAAGATCATACTGGAAAGTCAGATGTGACCCTCAAGATCGCAGTCCAGGATCAAGAAGATCATACTGTTACTGGAGAGTCAGAATCACTTTGCTTGGAGGATCGAGACGAATGGCCTTATCGTATAGAGCTAGGGGACCATGAGGATCGCGCAGTGAATATAACGAGCGAAATTAGATCGCGGATCTTAGCAAAGAGCTGGTGAATACTTTTAATCTTCGTTGTATCGCTGTGCGACTCCTCAGAAACAAGCAACGAACTGCTTTTCTAGGTGCTATAAACTCTTTACTCTTTTTCCGACGTTCTTTTGGATAGATATACGAAGTCGAAGAACTTCTTCGACTTCGTACATCTATCCAAAACTCTTGTTGTCCTTGTGTACGACACATCAAATCTCTGTTCGCATTTCTCCACTTCATACAAGAATGCCTTACTAGAACTTCTAGTCGTGCAATAGGAAGTAGTGCGTCGAATTTCTAGCATGCCCAAATACATCCAACAAGAATATTTTTAGCCAATCAACATATATATTTTTACCAAGTGCTGGCCGACTGCAGAATACAAAGTATCGTCAATACTAGTTAGTACAGTAGTTAGTACATTGTTGTAAAAAGTCAGTTTCTGTTTCAAGATGAAAATACAAATGACCACGACTTAACTCCGTCTGTCTCCGTGTTCGTTGTCATCCGTTGTTACAAGTCGTGGTCTCATTTTGCCGGAGAAAGGCTTAGGATTCCTCCTCGCTCGGCCTACTTACAAGCATCTGACTGTTTACGTGAACTAGGTCACTGTCGCGTACTAGATGACCAGTCACAGCCACTACATTGTGTGTAAGTTGTAAGTGAGTGAGATTTAGTTTTAGATCATTGGTCAGTATTTTCTCAGGGCAGCGTTGCTTATGGTCAGAATCAGTATAATCATTGGTCATTTTTTCCATCTCAGCAATGGCTAGAATCTGGATCTGTAGTGTCCAAAACCAAATAAAGCAAGAGAAGCGTCTCCTAGTATATTCCACCGTCCCCTGCTCAAGCACAGAGGCCATCGAGGACGAAAATTGATTTAATTTCATAGAACGCTATTGCAACAGCAACGCTAACTAAGGCTAATGCTAGTTATTGGTAGATAGAAGTCAGATGTAACGATAAGCAAACGACCCTTTAGTTATTCTTGCTAAAAATAATGCTGGAACCACCACTTTCTTTGTATCGTAGCTTTTATTCCTCGCCATCTTTTTGCTAATCAAATAATAAATCTCGTTCTTGATTGTTGAGTAAGTACTAAATTTTTTCAAAACTTGTCACAACTACAATGTGTTGGGACTTCTTTACGCGCCGGCTACGCTCGACCCACTTCAGACTCGAATCGTGAGATCACTTGGTCCATTTTTGTAACTACGCGTTGCATCGCCACAGCCTCCGTCTCCATCTCCGCTAAGTCCTGGGTTGTGTGACGAGTAAGAGATAATCGGTATGTAACAGGAAATTAGAATGCCTGTATCTTCGGTATATAAAAAGTGCAGACGTTTTTATGCTTGGCTTCAACGGACACAAACATAACAAAAGAAAAGTATGATCTACTTGTTGTTCAAGGTTGTGACCAGTGAGCTCACTAGAAAGAACTTCAACGGACAAAACATGCGGAAGTAGATGAACTATAATACTGAAGTAAGTACAACAAGTACCTCAACCATAAGCTCGTGATCGCATTCGAGACTCGCGAAAATATCCCGCATTTCGGCTCTCACTTCACCTATTTCCTGTCCCACGTCCTCTTTCATACTTTGTATCGCGTTGTAGAAATTGACGAAAACTGGAGAGTGAAGCATCTTCTCGAAATATAATAAGGTCCGAGACTGGGCAGGTTCTCAACTCACTTGCCAAAGGCCAAAGTTTTCAAAAAACCCCAAACTTTTGGCCAAAGCCCAAACTTTTCCAAAAGCGCAAACTTTTTGCCAAAGCCCAAACTTTTGCAAAGCCTCAAACTTTTGCAAAAACTCCAAACTTTTTGCCAAAGCCCAAACTTTTTGCCAAAGCCCAAACTTTTGCAAAGCCCCAAACTTTTTGCCAAAGCCCAAACTTTTTGCTAAAGCTCAAACTCTTTCAAAACCCCAAACTTTTTCCAAAAGCCCAAACCTTTTCCAAAGGCCCAAACCTTTTCCAAAGGCTCAAACGCTTCCCAAAGCCCAAACTTTTCGCCAAGCCCCAAACTTTTTCCAAGTGCCGAAACCTTTCCAAAGTCCCACACTTTGCCCAAAAGCTCAAAACTTTTCCAAGTCTTAAACATTACCCAAGCCCACAGCCACAGCCACAGCCACAGCCACAGCCACA